GACGTCTGATCCGATTGCCAGCCATTACATTCGTAACGGCTGTCTGTCTCCTCCTGAGTATCACTTCAGTTGCCATCTGGATACATACCACTTCCTTTGCAACCCAGTGTGCTATGGATCATCCTTTTAAAAACAAAAATCTGGTTAGTTTCAGGTTTGTTTGAATACCACATGAATTCAAAGTCTAGATAACAGCTGTTGGCGCTGATCTACTAGCCAACGTTAATTCATGCAATCGCCTGAGAGTTATTGGCTGAAATTTAAAAAATGCGTCTTTTCTAGTTATCCTATCGTGTATAATTACCTTAATATTAGATCTACAATTACTTGTTTTAATGAAATTTGCTGCTTTATTCTTTATTGTTTTCTCCATTATTTGAGACATAAAAAGCTATGTAGAATAAATTTTTGGTGAGTTGTGCATGTGATTACTTCTGCAGTAAATTACAAATATTGTTAAAGCACACAAGAATTTGTATAAATGTGCAGCACGAAATCGAGGAGAATTCTTTGAACATCTTGTGAACGCAACCTTAAATCTAAGGTGTAAAGTTGTTTACTTTCATCAAATCATTATGGCATCTCAAATGTCATTGAAAATTGATCTTTTTTAATTTTGGTTTTGGGGAAGACTCTGTTTTATGTACACTATATATTTACGTTGACCTCGCACATTTCCTGTGGTTGATTAAGAGTTAGATACCACTTTCCCCAGTATAAATGTATGCATAGGAGTTACGAGATAGCTTTACTAAATAACTTCACAAAATAGCACACCAAATAGTTTTGCAAATTCTTTTTTTGATTAGAGGATTAGACAACTGCAGCTACATTACGAAATTTCGCCAATAAGCAAGTCGCTATTTCCTGGCACATGCAGGACGTTTGGATGGCTGACTGACTTTTTTCATTCATACAGGATGAAAAGTACGGCAGTGGCAAAGAAAATGCCTCTGTGACAGTAATTGACGTCGCCTTAGTTGTAGGCGGAGGGAGTGCATCACGAAAAGTGCCAGTGCTTGTAAAAAGCATACTTTATCATCGTCTTTTCAAGCGGCACTGCAGTGAGCTTCTGCCGAAATTTCGCTTCCATATTATATGCAGTGCAAATGCTTGCAAGAGTCTTTCTGTTCTCTTCGAAACCTGGAGGATTTCGGCGTTAGTAAAAGTACACTTTTACAGCGCCGCAAATTTCTTGGTAGCGTTTTTGATTACCTAGTTTATTTCCACTTTAATAGGTTTTTAAGGCAATTAAATTTGTATTTACGCATTATTCATATTCGATTTCGCATTCATTTGTTGTGCATTTCTTACCACAAGAAAGTTATATTTGGTGAATTTGTTAGGTGTATTAGATTTATTTGCAAATCTGCAATACATTTGCTGATTTGCTGAATCAAATCAGGCTTTTTTACTTAATCCTCACTGCAACTTTATAGGTGATGAACCCACAATGCTATTTAACACTTCGCTTTTAAATTAATTATTAGGCTCCTAAATTTACACCTTTGCACTTTGAAAAATGCATCACATTAGTTGATGTCCCATTCTGATCAAATACACAGAGAACAAAAGCAAGTATTTTTTGTATACATAGGTGTTTTCTGGAGAAAACTTGTTCCACGAGGTCAGGACTCGTAGAGAGGTAGCTTAGAGTGATTCAGATGAAATAGAGGAAAGATGTCCATTTCTATTTCATTATTCCTTTATTCCCAATTGTCTTGCCCAAACTGAATAGTAGTATTTTACCTTTAGAGCCTCGTAAATTGGATTCCGAATGCACATTATTCAGGTGATTATGGACTTGTGAAGCTTGTTATATCGGATATACTACCCTGCGAGATTAAAAGAGTGAGTTTTTTGGGTGAAAGCACTATGTTATGCCATTGAACTTAGAAGGTGTATATTAGGGTATGCGTAGCACTTTTATGTTCATCACATTAGGTTTTATTTTTCAATTCGAGGTTATTTTATTGGACCTGGATACATTAGTAGAAGGCAATCTTATCAGCCTCTGGAAATCGGCCAGAACATTCGAAAAGGAAGAGGTACATCCTCAAATATTGTGATAAAATTAATTATTACTCGAAAAGTGGGACTTTATAGAGGTGATTAAATAAACCAAGTTATACTTGGGTTCTTTTTATTTGTATTAAGCCTATGGGTTCTCTACAGAAATTTCACTCATTGAGGAATTATAGCTGATAAAGCGATATTATTTTGTTAAGAGTGAGCTACTTATTTGCGGCCATCAAACATTCTAACCATCTCAATAACTCATATCTAAAGATAATTGGTCTCATTGAGAACCAAAGTGACTGGTACCTTAAGGGGCATGGTACTACTTCCTGGCCGGCCTTGGTAAGTTCTATATTTGACATCCGTAGTAATTTGTAAATGATTTAAAATAATGAAATTTTATGAATAATGAAGTCAACGCACGTGTATTTACAATAAGTTTCGGGATAAATTAATCGAGTTTCATCTAGGGTCGAGGATATAATACAGGAGTAGTGCTAATGGATTTGCAAAAGATGCGAGGAGTCGGTTGGAATTGGCATTGGAAAAGTGTGGCGCAAAAATTGCTGAAAAATATGTCTTACACATCCTTGGCTGACCAGGTTTGTCTTCATATCACTTTTGCTAAATAAAATAGTTTATTATTTCTCTTAATAACTTTAAATACGTCACAATCACTAATAATATCCTTTCACATTAATATATGTTACTAAAATAAAGCCATTTTTAATGAAAGCAAATCGAAATCCAGCCTTTGGGGTAAAACTCAAGCATTCATTTAAAGTACATTATTGTCTCGAACCTTAAAATTAACATAATTATTTGTATATTCACCAGTAATCTCCAAATAAGATCGCATGCTTTAGCAAACTTTAGTGACACCAGCATACTCTAAAAAATGGAACAAATAAGAGGGCGAAAGCATCAGGGTAACGTTTTTGGAACGAATTTTACACTGAGTGAAGTATGTTGCACTGTTATGAAGATTTCATTGTTCCTTTCTTTGCCTTTAGGATGTTGTTAACGCAGCCCTCTACTTCAATAGTACTCGAGTTCATCGACTCCCCTGTGCTTGGAATTTGCAGCTCGGGGACAACGCTAATTATTCACATTGCCTATTTACTGGCAGGGCAGGAGGATTCCGGCAAGCACTCATGTTTCAATAAATTGCTTTAATAGATTAGAGTGGGATGGACTGCGGATTTTGCATTGGAACAGTCCATCGAAAATGTCATCAAAAACAAATTTTGGAACCAGTGGATCCTATCCATTCAGCGTAGACTCACGTAGGCATTTACACGAATGTCACGACTTCTTTAAATCGACTATGGTTAAATTGAACTGGTAGAAATAGTAGAGTAATCATAGTATTTCAAAAAAATTTAGTCGATGTCAGCTGGTATTATTCTGCTCTTTTCCGAAGATGGAGCTTCCATATGAACTTGGTTCAATAATTTAGCTACATATTTTCGGCTACAATTCGCGTTGACATTGGACCGCCTATCTAATTTGGATGGAAACTTATTTAGAGAAGCCGGAGGCTTGCATGTAAGTATGTTATTCAAATTTTCAAAGATACAATGGGGGCTGGAGGCGGATGGTTAAGTTTTAAATTATTTAATGTACTTTAAAGAGATGTTTTGATTTAATGTTTGAAATATGTAATGCCGCAGGGCATCTTTCTACCACAACAAAAAGAATCGAGCAAAGGGCAAGAAAAACTGGTAGAAATGGCAACTAAATACCCATTTTAAAGTAGTATTACTAGCTTTACCAGTTTTCAAAGCACAATTTACTATCTCATGATTACATTGCATTAAAGTCACCTACAAAGACCAAAGAGGATAAGCAGAATCGTCAACGAGGCACAGTGAAAGCGTGTTCACTTCTCCATATGGAAATGCAACTCCAAAGACGTGTGTTTCCCTACTTTTACGGGCTTAGTTCAAACACCACTGCAAATGTGACACTAGTGAGCCAGTTCACAATGGATAGGTAGTTATGCTTCATTTCTTCACACTTTCATGAAAAATTCGAAGCTTTCTTCTTTTCAGTCACCGATTAATTATCTCATTTGCATATTATATCGTCATAGCTGGTGTTCATCTAGATATTACCGTTACATTTGATAACTTTATAATGTGGATCATAACTAGTAGGGTAGAGTCAATATTTGGCCTAAACTCGAGCCTCACTTTTTGAACCTGTGGGCTTGACGCTTATTGGCATCATTTATTTGGACTTCAAACTTAATGTCATTATAGTGATTCTATAACTTTGTGAAGATTATAGCACCTTTTGTGTGTTTTATAGACTTCATCGCCTCGAAGAAATTGCGGCTAATTGGGACGGTCCAATGAGTCTGGCTGTTTACATCACCGATAGAGAAGTAGAAATAATAAGGGAGTACCTTGATTCTTCGGTGTTTTTTACTTCACGAGAAAATATTGACATACACTTGGTATTTCAGGAGGGCGTAAGTGCCACTTTCTTTCCGTCTGTCAACAGCTACCTGCTTCCCATTTTATACAGAACCTTTTATTGCATTTTATAGAGCTATTATCCAATAAATGCGCTTCGAAATACGGCCATAAAATACGCTAACACAGCGTATATTTTCATTGTTGACTTTGACTTCGTTCCGAAACCTCATCTCCGCACCTACTTCCAACGCACACTAGCATCTGTATGTTTTCGCTTGTTTGAAAATTCATAGCTTAAAGGCACCTGGGTTTAAGTGACATTTTCTGGATATACTTTAAGAATGCTGATTTGATTCACATTTAATACGTAAATTCTAACCTTTAAAGCAGTGAGATGATGCTACCCATTTAAAGCGATGGTAGTGGAACAGAGCCCATTTTTATCTTTGTGTATCGCCTGATGCATTCTTGGAAAACTAATGTGCTTTAAGCACAACTTTCCAAAATTCCATACAATAGATGGTAGATCTTGCCTAAATACGTGAGACCTTATCTTTTCTTAGCCGGCTTTTCCAATACGCTTAATCAGTTTTTACAACAGGCAAAACTCGGTTCGCTAGTAATATTTCTTTATGCATGCAACTGTAATTAGGTGATTTCATGAGCTTTTTGTGATGTTCGCTTATGACCCACAAATAACCCAGTTCTGAACTTCTTTCTTATCGGTTCGGCTTGAAGGACTTGCGAGCCTCAAATCGCATAAAGGCACTGATTGACTTCAATTGCATTGTGTTTTGTTTTTCCATATATGCGTTCATAATAAAAAGTGAATCGATACGCTAATTTTGCCTGAACCATATGCTATTTTGGTAATTATTTGCGTCATTTGTCTAAGTTTAGCAAAGGCCGTGCTATACTGACAATCCCATACATTTGCTTGATTGACTTTTTTGGACTTTTTTGTAAAAATGTGTGAAATGCTTAAAAGGGCAAGCAGCATAGACCTTAACCAGTATGCGGTTAAATCAGCAAACTGCTCAATTTTCGTATTCCTTGCACAGCGTAAAGAGCATTGGGCACTTAAAAAATTGTTTGACCAGGAGTGAATTTTGCCAGTTTTTCTATAGCTTCAGACACAAATGAAAGACTTCTTCAAGTACTGGTTTCCTTTTAAATGCATTATGATTGATAATCTTGCGTTTGGTATTCGAGCCCATTGAGGCTTATTAAATTAATGTTTAAAAAAATATGCGATTCAAATGTAGTAAATTCGAAAAAATCGCTCCGTTTGGTGTGCAAGAAACTGTTGTTGCATTTGGAACAGCCTTCATACAACCCAATTTCGGTTATTTCCGGTAAGGCAAATTGTATGACAACAGCGTAGCTTTCAGTTTTCCGGAAGACAGGAGCACACATTTCAGCTTGCTATTGTATCGCTCCTAAGTAAAAACAACTCCTTCATTTATATTCTCTCCTAGCGTGAAAAGGGCGTGAATAAACCTCCGGATTTATAAGCCAAAATATATACACTCATTTGCAATACAAAAAATTCCTTTCCTTTGCTGTTAAAAGTAGAACATTTTAATGGAAATGGCTTTGTTTTATCTTCAGGCGAACAAAATAGAGAGAGTGGCCTACATCGTCCCCGCGTTTGAAACCTTCTACACGCAGCTTGCATTTCCCACCACGAAGTGGCGCTTACTCCAGACCGTCGCATCCGGGGTGGTAAAGCCCTTTCGAATCGATGTCTGGCAAGCTGGACACCTTGCCACGAATTATTCCCACTGGTACAAAACAGAAATGCCCTATGAGGTAATTTCCTCATTTTTGCACACACCACAATTGGAAATTGACCTGCTCAAGAGTACTAAGCCATTTTATGTCCGCAATATGCCTTTTGGTATAGCTTATGTGCTGGGACCAAGGAAGTTAATGCAGAAATGACCAACTTTCCCGGAACATGTATTTTTTTAAAACTAATTCTAATGTTTCCTAAGTTGCACTTAAGTAGCTGCCAATCATGAGCAGAAATTAGATAAAATGTTGTAATTGTAATGGAGGCACCTCATCAAGTAACACATGTATTTCAAAATCTTGAGTAATAAGCCCATGCCATGCTACACTAGTATCCAAAAAACACGTTCTTTTTAAGAATATTGGCATTTTACATGGGGGTTATTTTAAATGTTCTTCAATTAATGCGGTTTTTAGACTGTCTTTTTAACTTATTATCAAACAGGTTAAGTGGGACGCCGACTTTGAACCATACGTACTAATTAGGCGCGGACATGGACAGTTTGATGAGCACTTCGTTGGCTTCGGCTGGAACAAAGTGTCCTTCTTCATGCTTTTGGATGCCCTTGATTTCAAGTTTGTGGTTCTTCCAAATGCCTTCATAATACACTTCCCTCACGCACCGAGTGTAGAATCAAATCGGTTTCGTCATTCACTTATTCTTCGGTTAGTTGGAAACTGTTTAACGATATTTTAATGCCAATCACACTTACTCATATTTTGTGATAAATGAAACCAGACGAATCAATGCAACGTCTTAAACAAATAGCACTTTCGTGATGATTTAGCTTTCGAATCCATAATTAATGATATCCCATTTTCATTGCAGACAGTGTTTGGAGGAGTTTAAAGTCAATTACGTAAAGGATCTTGCCGTGCGTTTTGGAGTAAAATCACTAAAATATCTTCGATTTCGTCACAGGACAATCGGAATATAGTATTTTGTGAAGTCTCATTTTATAAACTGTTTATTGTCTGCATTTGTATGCCTATAACAAAGTCTGCTTATTTTTGACAGCAATGGTATTTACTTGTTAGCTGCATCAATATTAAGTTGAGTTAATGCTATTTTTTGTCTGCAGACGATCTTGGGTGCTGAACGACCGAAAAACATTTATACATACTAGGGAATTCAGTGCGTAGGGTAGAGCATATCCTTACGTCAAGGTAAAATTGATAGTCGTTTAGTTTTGCTGGTATTGTGGTTGGTCTTTGTCATTTGAGAATATAATAAAGCAATACCTTAAGTATAAAGAGTCAGGGACCCAAATTTTGCTTAAGTGAACAACTTTTGATCGCACAAATGAATACTATTGCGCAAACTAGGAGAAGGCAGACGTACTCCAAAGGCGTAAATCCCCACCTCCACTAAATTTGACAAATTTACGGATTTGTTGACTCCAAAATATACAATGGTATGAACAGAAGTGTACAGAAAGTTTCTTAATTTACATTCATTGATGCTTGTCTCCAAGGTTATGCTTTAAGAGATCGAAAATATATTGTAATGGATGAATTGCTGATTGATCAGATAACTATTCATACAAAGTAACAACTAAGTCTGAGGGTTGCGAGTTAAATGGAAGTCGGCTATCACTCAAACGGATACGATGACAAAAGGCTATTCTACGTATGACTACTAGGTCCCCATGCGTACTACTTTGGAGTAGCGGTTAGCAAGGCTCAGATGTCATTGAAAGTATTTTGAAGCAGGGTATTTGCCTAAATCAAAACTTCTGAATACTTCTTCAAAACAGAAAAGCAGTCTAAACTCCGAGACCACCCTATGCGTGAAACATTTCTTTTCGAGACCTTTATTTTACTGACTAGCAGTAGGATTTGTAAAATGAGATAGTAGTATCAATTTGACTAACTGATTCGTACTTTAAAACACTTACAGAGCCTGCATGCCTGAGAGGGAAGTAACCTCAAACCTATGCTGCAGTTGCTAGCACTGTTACATATCCTCTAAAGCATTTTGGCGCTATCCATGTAAATCATTTTAAACCAAAATATAGGCTGGTGTCTCCCGTACATTGTACTGGACTATTTTTCTTGAAAAAAGTGGACTGGTGTCGTCGTTTGCGTTTCCGTCGTTTTGGCGCCTGTGCTTGCGTGCAGAGGTTTTGAATAAACTATAAAGTTACTCAGCGCCAAAGAATATTCACCACCTCTATTCGTCGATGCATTGACAGTCTGAAAAGTTACAGGAACGGTACGCATAAAACTGGTTAAAAAGAGATTCACGAAGCCATACCTTGAGCAGATTCTTGTATTATTTCTGCTTTGGTAATAATCCACATTAGTGAATGCTAAAATACATTTGAAGGCCAAATTAAAACGATGACATGAATAATCAACGGAGAAGTATTATGTTGTTAAAGTTACCCACCAAATGGACTCGAGGAATCTTTCTATTACTGGGCGATTATAGTTAATACTTTGCCAAATTAACAATCGAAATTATCAATCGACTACCTACTTGTTACCTGAAATCACTTAGACGGATGTATAACTACGCTATCTCTCTGCTTGTTCGACTGAATTTTACACCGGTACACCAAATATGTTGTGGGCTTCCGACTTTTTGATGCAGCAGTGTTATTGAGGTGTAATCCTACAGACGCAATATTTGCCCTGAAAGGATGTTTTTGACTAGGCCAAGGTGAGGGCATTTCAAACACAGGGCATGGCATGTGCGCTTATCAGAACTCGCTCATGAATCAATGGAAGGGTTTATTTTGATAAATGTGCATTGAATGTGTACATGGCTTTCTTTTGTATTTAGTATCGATGATTGATACGTACAAAAAATAATAAGACAACTTAAATCACATATCCATTATACATTTTAACGCAACTGATAGGTCAATTGCTCATTAAACACTTGCTCTACCTTAGCGCTGTGTCCATAATAAGAGTCAAAACAGTGGTAAGATAAAATAAAGTACTTTTTACCCAAACAGATTTTAAAGCACGTGAAAATTTTTGAATAAATTTCATATGCGTGCAAGAAAGGTAATGCATGAGAGGAGCATATTAATGCACGCAAGACCCCAAGCTTATCTACCATTCCCAAGTTTTTAACTATTTTCCGTTTTGGTTTAAGTTAATATGACTTGTACATCCGCTGACCCGTAGAATCCTCCAATATTGGTTTTGGAGCCAGAACTGGGACCGAAAGAACTTAGACAATCAAAGGGGTAAAATGGGAATGTAAAACAGGGAAATTGCTTTAATTTGACTTTTTTCGTGGAAACAGGTGAGACTTGTAAGCTAGTGAGCACTTACACTGGTTAAAAAGCTTGCAAACATCCCAAAATAAATCGCAAAATTAAATCCGGTGTGTCTTCAAAAGTATAAATCTCACATTGTTTTCAACAGTATAGACGAAATATGATTATTATGACACCGCAGTGTTGAATTGTTTTGCTCAACCACCAAGTAAAAGTGAATTAGTTACCAGGACTTTCGCATGCTTAAATCACTGGTCGAAAAGTCTGGTAGATGTGTAGTAGGTTGTGGTGTAAGAATTTTCCCACCTCAAATACTAATTAAATACACAGAAGGCGAAAAAATGAAGCTACACAGAATCAGTATAAGACACTCAAATGACAGCCAACACTTGATTTCCTATATCGACAAACTCTATAGCTCCCAACAACATGGCGCGTTGCTTGGCTCGATTCCCAAGGCCCAAGTAATGCGCCTAATCTACATTTTACGTGACCTTGAGAATGGAGTACCTCTTGACCAGTCACTGAGGCGAAACGAGGTGGAGAGGGTATCCCCAACTGAAGACCTGAATAAAGAGACTGATGAGGTTGTTGAGCGGCAAGTCTCCCTACGCATAATTTCAAAGCGTTACCCTTACTAAATACCATTTCTTTACTTAGAAAAAAGACTGTGATGAACGAGCAATATGAAAATAACTTGGTCCGTCCTGGTGACTCAAATTTTGAATACGACCTGCCAGTAGACTTCCCCGAGCAAAGGGAGACAAGTGGATGGGACTCAGACATAAGCGACTTTTGAAAAAAAATATGCTGCAAATAATAATATTAAAGATTAGTTTAAATTACATAGGAGTGATTGATTAAAATGAACGTGTTTTTAAGTTGCACGCGCTGAAATGCTTGGTGCTGAAAAGTTAAGACACCATTTATCCGTTCCTTGAAGGAGAAAATTGAGCGAAAGGGGCTCTGGCAGGAGGATTCATACCCTCAGCTTCGGCTCCTTCGGCTTGTTCTCTTGGCTCATCCGGTATCACTACGCAACCGGAAGTGGGGTTACCATTGTTCTGATGAGGCGCTACGATAGCGGATGTTTCTCGTTCGCATTCACTATCGGAGGAGAGTGAATAATCTGAGCAACAATTACAGCACTGGTGCAGCTGTTCCCTTTTAGATGTAAATATCACCACGTGCACATTTTGGATGGTTGTAGTTGTTTTGGCCGCGGCAGAGGCAGCTGCCATAGCTGTATTCAATTCACCAGCATGGTGGCGGTGGTGGCAATGGGAATAAAAGTTAGATGTTGATGATGTTATACATCTAGAGGCTGATGACGAAATCTGGATCTGTTTGGGATGATTGAGCGCATTATCACCGGACGGACAACAGAAGGGAGGTGCCGAGGAGCGAACGCTGGACCTCCCCAAGTTTCCAACTAAAGTATTGAGTGATAATAGTCGTATTAGCACTACAAAGATAATCGAATAATGACATATTATTTCCAATGTTAAGATACCTGTCGCAATAATTCGCTTGTCCAATTCCTTATCGTTTCCCAAAGCTTCAAATGAGAAAGAATTCACGCCCACATTGCAAACGACTCCATTGGAATTAGAAGAATTAGAGAGACTAGCGTCTCGAGATGTTGGTCCGGGATGTTTTAAAACGGCAAGTGGAAGGGAGGCATAAATGGATTCAGTTATTGGACTAGGAGGTGGATTTACTGTCTCCTGCATTCAAAAATATGAAACAGCGCACTATTTCGTTAGAAAATAAAATTGTGTGCCAAATTTGATAAAACAAAAAATATGCTAGTGAATTAAGGGTTACTAGAAATCATATAACTACCCATACATAATAAACATCACATAGTGAGTACTTCCAGTAAGGAAAAGACTAACACGAGGATAGAATTCGGATGAACGGTTTGAAGTTGTTTTAGGACCTCCTGATGATGAACTGCTACCTTCAACGGTGTTGGCTGCAACCGAAGACGATTCAACCTGACTGTAGGTGGCGGCCAAGGTGTTTTGTTGGAGAGCAGTAGCTGCAGTGGCAATGGCATTCCGTCGTGTTGCATGTTGGTGGGAACTCTGTTGCTGTTGTTGCCTCAATCCACACTGCGGACAATGCATACACGCAAGGTCCATTGCATCATCCAGATCTGAGCGAAAGCTCACCTTCTTACTACCCTGCTTTCTACTGCTGCCACGGCGTCTTCGACTAGCGTGCTGGTAATGATGGTGGCTGTGCTCCGTAGAGGCTGTCGAGGAGACAGAGGCCTCGTGACGCCGTGGCCGACGGTGTCGACGTAGATGACGTCCACGTTGCTGCCGACGATGATAGTGGTGACAGCGCAGAGGCGAAGTAGTTAGACTAGAAGACTCGCTAAATTCCGATGATGAGCTTCCTCCGCCTAATTCCTCCTCTTCCTCCTCGCCCTCGTCTTCGTCGTCAGCATGCAATTTGGACGGTGGGGGAGCTGGGGGTGGACAGGTAGAAGGAACCTCAAAAAGACAGCTGGTGGTAGGTGAGGGGGGAGGGGACGGCAAAGAGGAGGGTGGCGGAGCTGGCGGACACTTGGAAGTCGCACGCGTCCAATACACGGTGGAGGAACTGTTGTCTGGCGTCTCTGCATTACTTACTCTTGCTGCACAGTGGCATGGTGAATGTGTACGAGATGGCTCTGAGATGAAAAAATAATCTGACCCTAATGACGAATCTACTTACATACAACTAAAAAACTGCTAACTACAGCTCACTCAGATTCCTGGAATAATGACGACTGCGTTTGTGGCAACGATTGCAAAAATTCCTGTAAACGTTCGCTGATGGCGACTGACCATCCTGGGAGGAACAGGAAGGGCAATACCAGCTAGAAGAACCACTGTTTGGAGGTGGAGGCAGGACGGTGACTTTTGAAGTGATTTTTCGGCTGCCTGCAACACTTCTTCGATGGTGCGAAATGGATGCAGGAACATGTTCAGTCACAGTTGCAGAGGATTTGATTGTTGCCTTACTCGCAACCAGAGGCTCTTGATATTCACTACGATTGTTCATCTGACCATCCACACAATTGAACCCCTCCCCTCCACTGCCCTTTGACCTGTCCCCTTTCCTGGAAGGAATCAGAAGAACATCCGTACGCACCGTGTACGAAGATTTGGACCACCTGTTAAGGGTCACGGAATTATCGTCACTCAATGCCAATCGAATGTCTGAAAAAAAAACATTACTAGACTATTACATAAAAGACTCCGAGGAAAAGTTGGACCAAATTAGCTAAAAATAGCCTGGACTAAATACAATCAAGGTAAAGAATTGAACAAATGCCCTAAAATATGTGGGGAACTACTGAAGTGATGCTTAAAGCTGGCCTTCATATGATTCGATTTAGCAGTGATGCGACCTATCCAATCGAAAAAGCTGTAGACTTCAAATCGCGAGCAAGTTTAGTAAGCAGAAAAGAAACGCACTTTTTTGAGCACAGATAGGCAACGAGACTGAAGACGACAAGGGCAACAATGATTGCCGAGACGATGAACACCGTGTATACATATGGAAATTCACCGGCTCTCTTGTTTGAGCCATCTGCAAAGGCCAATTCGACCGCGACTGTGCTCCCATTAGCTAATTCAGAATTTTTGGCATTATTATTAGCCCCTGACTCCTGATCCTCACATGAAGCCTCGTCCCAGCCATCGGGGCAGTCGGGTCGACCGTTACAGACCATGACGGAAGGGAGACATCGACTCGATGGGCCACCGAGTTGTAGATGATAGATGAGCAGCGAGTGACGCGGACGGCGACATTCAAACTGATCCTTGCCACAGCAGGACTCGTCCGAGTCGCATTCAATCACGCCGTTACAACGCGATGAAAAGGGCAAGCAAAGACCATTGTCGCACTCGTATTCAGGGCATATCTGTGGACAATCCACTTCATCGCTTCCGTCCTACAAAAAAGTCACGGCATTAGATACCTACTTCGAATGCATCGACCAAAAGTTTGAGCATTTTTAAGTGCTTTTCTACTTTCGACATTAGACTTCGAGATTTAACACCAATACTGACGCTCATCCTTCAAAATATCTTAACGACATGGTCTCTGATACACTATTAGCCTCCAAATTGCGATTTACTGTGGGAGAAATCTCAATGTCTTAATAAATAGCGTATTTGGTCAAGTTGAAAGAATCTATTTCGACAATTGTTGATATATCAACTATCTAAGACACTACTGTGTAAGTGGTCTTACAAAAAACGGCAAATTCAAGGGCTCGTTGCCACATATAAGCCTACTAAGAGTGCTCAAATGGAAAATAACTGCGAGAAACGGGTAGGGTTAAAAGAATCCCACCCGACAGTCGATGACTCCGTCGCAGGCTTTGTGAGCTGGAATGCAAGCCCCACGTTGGGGGAAAGGTTCCCCAACGAGAAAGTAGTTTTCACGGAGTGTTTTGTTGTCCCTGATTGTAATACCAGCACGACATAACATATTCGGTGGTAGGCAGTAGGGAATGCGACTACACATATTTCCCTCATCAGCCTGGGACACTGTGTTTAGAAGTTGTGACCCGAGGGCACAGGCACACCGGCGAACGGTGCGCCAGAGTGACCGTGGCTGAGGTGATGACAGTGGTGGGTGGGGAGCGAGTGGACCCGGATATAGTGGTAGACTCGGCGACGACGCAGTGGCCTTTGGTAGGCAGAACTGTGAGCATTCTCCATGAGAGGGACCAGCACATGGATGCCATGAAAGATCGCCTAGACCACCGCCACGCACAGGAATCAAGAAGAGTTGATCACCGCTATTCCATACATATGAGTTGAGCCCTGGCGGCGGAGTAAGAGGTTTTTGTGAGACAACCGATGCACCATTCGTGTACGATGCATCAAGGGGTACATAAAGAAGGTTTATGGGATGGTTTTGATTGCCGGAGGCAACACTGTGATGGATTGGCTCCAGCCACGTCAACCATAGAGAGTTTCCTGAAGACGGCGATCCAAGAGTGTTTTCGGGTAAAATTACGAGGGATTTCGGGATGGGTAAAGTATCAACAACTACTATTTCAGGTTTCACTATTCCACTTCCGACACCAGTGGCAACATTTAAGGCGAAAATGCGTCGTTTCCCAGGATCAACCCAAAAGAGTTGGGCTAACTTGGCGGAGTATGTGAGAGAATGTGGGCAGATAGAGTACTTCGTGGTATCGTACAATAGTCGTCGATCGCTCCCGTCCAGGTACGTCACTTCGATGCGACAGTCAGTGGGTTGGCTGTCAGCCTCCAACCGTTTGGACGTCAGCTGAAAAAGTTGACCAGATCGTGGCTCAACAACGATTTCGAGGATGGTGCGCGAGTTCTGTAATCGGGAAAGAAGCAGCGTTAGGAAAATATAGTTCCTTCACGAACATCAATTCGGTGTTCCGTACCATACCTCAGTGAGATTCGCAACTAAACCAATGGTGCGTCCTGACCTGCTGTCCTCCGCTCCTATGAGACCTGTGAGGAAATCACTCCAGAAAACAATTTGATTAACTGGATCAAACGCGAGGCTCCAACGCGGTCGATTAAACAACGCCAGGTGAGACTGTTGAGTGTTTAAGTTGTGGTCCTCGCTTCCAATGTAAGAATGCCATGCTTTGTCGGTCATTGGGACCACTAATGGGGAAAATTAAAAAATGACTTTCTAGTTAGAGACGAATGTGCACTCAATTCTGAAAGACTATGTGTGCTAGTGGCGCATACCAACAAGGTTAAATCAAAATTATATGTAATTTGAGGCAAAATGGAGTAAAAATGAGTATTTAGCTAAAATGCTAAGACCTATATATAATACATATCGTCTTGGATGAACGCTGTTTAAATACATGTATTTTTTTCGCTAAAATGAGTTGTTGAAGGAGTACAACACTATTTTAATCAATTAACTTACAAGGGCCACCTTCCCAAAGAGTAACTTCGCCTGTCGAGAATTCAAGAAATCCAAGACGCATGAAAGCAGTTCCCGAGCGGGTACTGCCAGTAAAGAAATCGTAGTGCTGATCTCTGCTACTATCGCTGTTTCTGCTATTGCTGCCAGACTCAAAGCCCTGACGAAAGGCCCTGCCGCGGAAGAAAGAGGCAGGTGAAGAAATGTGATCACGCTTCCCGATGGGTTGCAAAAGGAAGAAGAGACCCGCATTGGTCAGCTCCTCAAGTGCAGCAGCAGCGACTCGTTGGCGGTTCGACCAACGTCCCGCAAAAACCAGAGGGTCGGATAGAGCATCCGGATCACCCTCGTTGAAGGTCGACTCCGCGTACGGAGGTACTGGATCAACGGCATGCCAGGTGGGTGGTGGGTTAAAGCCATCAGCAGAGAGATGGTCATGCGTGGGAAGGGTGAGTGGTGACAGGGAAAGAAGGTTCGTTGCCGGCTGGTCATCGGGTGTGTAACGCATGATTGATCCATCAATTGTAATCATCAAAAGACTCCGATAGGGTTCTAAAAATGAAAGTAAATGGAGAGCTTTACATGTTGGTGATCGAGCATTGTAGCTCTGGAAGAAACGGAAGTCTGGCCATTATAACAAATAAAGTCGTTTTCAATTTAAGCCTATACAAATGGAAAGCATTACAAAATAAGGTGTATGGTAGAGTAGTCTAAACGCTGCAATTACATAGTTCACATGTAGTTCTACTGGTTAAAACCTCTCTCATTTAGGCACTCAAATGTAAAATAATAATGAAAACGACCTAAACTTCATTGCATTTTGTGCATGGATCCATCCATGGTTGATTTCTTAGGTGTGCAACAAAATGAACACAGCACACCAGGGAAGTAGACTAAGGCGCATCTTATGCCAACAACAATCCGGTGTTATCAACAGGGGCGAAAACGCACAGACATGTGCAAGCCAATAAATGTCAGTAAGAATTTATCACATGCTGTTAGAATTAAGATAATTTTGCAGATGTAGCATGGGAAGATCCCTGACATCAATGGCTTCCAAAGCACACACGAAAAAGTTCATTTGTAAATTCTGATCTTCAACCAATATTCCTTATTCATAAATTCCGATAAATGGCTTCGGCTTAAATAAATGAGGAATTCTCTAAGCAAAATTTTGAGCATTGCTATAAACAGTGTACATCAGCAAAGCTTTCATCCGAAAATGGCATCACCTTTCTAACGTGAATACGATGTACACACTTGACAAAGCAAAAGATGTCACGAGGTGTATTTTTTTCACTGAAATAAACAAGTCTACCAAGGCAGCTGTAGCCATCGGAAGCCAGAGTGAATTGCGTGGGACAAGCACAAGTGAATCGGGGCGACCGGTCATCGAGAATAGAGGATGGATAGCCACCGACGACACCACGACCTCTGAATACAGAAGGCTGCGCACTAGCACTGCTGCTGCTGCCACCACGGCTTCCGGGCACAGAATGCGGCGGAAGAGCTCCCAAACACAGAGCCTGCAAGAGCAAAAGTAGCATTCACAAGATAAATGACAACTGCCTCAGTTATTTAGCTATTTTAATGACCCGAACAGGCACACGTGTGTACTTGGCATATGGGTCCAGTCTGCTGGTGATGGGGTTGATTAGAAAGACTTTGTAGACTGTAAGAATAGCTCCAGGCCAGCGCCTGTGGATGGAATGCCGCCGTGGAGGAGGGTGAGGCACATCGATGGCCCGGCTCTGCAGCCTGTCGATCGAAACCCGCTACAAACAAACCCAAAACAAGAAAATTTTGTCTGCCTGATGGCGACGAGGGACCACGAAGCAGAAGATCGGCGGGTAAATTCAGCTGGCTCCCAGTTGAGAACCCGGATCGCGAATTCGGGAGTTGAACTCGATAAACGCTTTGTGTAGTCAGCTAAAGATAAAAAACACCCTCAACATGAAATGTTCGTCTTTTTCCTAAACCATAATGCCAACCATTAGGACAATTCCTATCAATGCTTTCTACCATTAGCTAATTTATGATGGAAATGCACAATTTTAATTACATTAAAATAATGCCTTACTGTTCCGGACCATATGAATACCGTACAAAGGTATTAAAAAGTTTTAAACCTAAAAAGACGAATTTCTTTAATTTACGAAATCAAAGTCATTTTCTTGATTTGGTGCAGCTTTGCCAGTGAAAGATCTTGTCAACGCATATTATTTCTTCACATAAACGTGCCAGAAATAACCTCAGAAAAGAGAACCGCTCCCTGGAAAACGTCAATAGCGTAGGGATGAAAATCAGTAGATGTGGTGGAAGGAGGCGGCACGCTGTCGGCGTAAATATCATCTGAGCTCGGCCACGACCCATGGTATGATGGAAGAATTGGGTTAACAGAAAACCAGTCTTCCCCATTAAGCGATATGGACTCGATGCATTTGGTCACCCAATTCATCCAGTACAGTCGATCGGCTAAATTAGCAAGATTAGTTGTCATGAAGACTTCAAAAACTCATAATATTAAAAATATGAAACATAACACGTCAAAATGTACTGTAACAATGATGAGATTTCCCAATCCCTAAAATATCATATTGACGCCTGAAAGACGTGAAGTGCAATACACGTCATCAATAAATCATAATATGGTTGTCAAATGACCTTAATGCTCCAGCCATTTGCAGCCAAGTTTCGGTACAGGCGTATCCACCACTACGGTATTCCTTTGCGGTGAACTAGAACATTCTAACCATCAAATTGGACCGAACAATCCATTTATTGTATCGTTATACAAAAAGCGTTTGGCGACAGTGTCTTTCAGTTTGCCAGTCATGCCAATTAGGAAAGAGCATAAGTCAGCGAGTGCATTTAAAATTTAGTCAGACATCAACCTAAAAATTTTGCATTTATACAGGTCAACATACTGGTATAATCGATTGCCAGGCTCATTACCATTCCAACCCCATTCCAAATTACACGATGATTTCGGCCGTCAAGTCCAGCGGAAAATATACTGAATCGAGCATTGTGCGTTCCGTCTAACCAGAATAAATACCTAAGTAGGAACAGATCATTAATTTTGTTGCCGAATTCTTAAGCGTTTACTCATTAGAAACAGTTTAAACTGTGTTTGAGTTACGCATATACTAAATTACCGTTTTTTTGGATGCACCACAATATCTCGTGGAGACGACAGGTTATGCAGAAGTACAAGACGGTAGTTGTCGACATTATTTGCCAGATGATCTGTAAGCGGATTGAAATCATATGAATATAGATCGTAGTCATCTGAAGATGGGTCCGCACCTTTTGGTGGATGGAGGAACCATGGAGGAACAACATTGCGCCGAATCCGTTTGGAATGCCAATTTTCCCTACGTGCAGCTTTGCGAGGACGTGAGCGAGGCGGTGATGATGAATAGAAGGGCAGTGAAGAAGGTTGTATGTAGCTGCGATACTTGAGGTCAATAACCTCCAGCCTAGGACGTTCGCCATCAACGCAAAAGTATAGTGCATTGGTGAGCCAGTCCAGAGCCAAACCAACGATGGAATCGCGAGCTTGATGCTGACTCCCAGATGGCGGCACTGAAGAACCAGGGTCTCTGTCACCACTTCCACCAGCTTGGTTGGTGTCTTCGAGTCTAATGTCATGAAAGAGACAGAGTAGGGTCTCCTTGCCAGTCCCATTCAGAAAAGCCACCGATATACACTAAAACATGAAAAATAAATTGAAGCACTGATTAACTTGTTTGCAGATTATTTTGTACTTATCAACGGAAAGCCATACTACGACTATAAATGTTCAATAGGTGGATAAGGGTAAGGCAATTCAATAAGTGTATCTTATGTGGTTAACCTGAGGAGCGGAGTCTTCTACCCAGTAGATACGCTCTTCAGAGATGTGCACATCGAAGCGAATGACGCGATGCAAGAAGGGTAAAGGAACCTGGTTGAAGATCTGATTGGACGCCATCGCAGCCGCCTCTGCAGCGGCTAATTCAACATCGTGGTAGATCAGACTGGTGCCTCTTGAAGCTGTCGCAGCAGATAGATGGCTAAAGCATAAATTAACCAAACTCACTTCAGATTCGTGAGCAAGTTGAAGATAATAATAGCTCTTTTACTACCAGTAGAATCAAAGTAATTTGAATCCAGATGTCGATATTCGGATCCATGTGCCCCTTCCGATTTACTAGTAGCTACATCACCCAAACACGAAAGGAAACTCAAAGAGATGGTGTAAATTAATGAATCGGTGCAAATACTCAGTAACTTGAGCAGAGAAGAGGAATAATAAAATAACTTCGGAGACTGACCGGTCACCTGGAGGCTGATGCTTGAGTGGAGTGCGAGAGTGAGCCTGGCGCGATCGAAGACGGGACTTGGGCAGACTCATGCGTCGAATGCCAGTTCCGTCAAGGGAGTAGAGCAACATAGAATCGGGCACAATGCACGTCTTTCCATCGGAATCGAGGGCGTATTCGGGTGGGCATGCGCAGTAGTAGAGGTCCTCCACCTCCTTACCTCTATTGGAACGACCGCCACCTTCGTTATCCCTGCCGCTAGGTTGTGCGGGGAGCACCAAGCAGAGGTGCGTGCAACCGCTCTTTGATACGTCATCGCAAACATTCCCTTTGTCTGCACGCACACAAACACTCAAATTCCACAGAGAGTGAAAAGGAAGAACGTGTATTATGAGTGTCTGGATATGTCCTATGGTAATATCTTGTGGCATGCAAAAGACCGGGAAACCCCAGAATAATGCTCAAGAACATTAAAACACGGTCATACGGGTTCACCTATCTTGTATATTTTGCACAAAACATTTTCTACTAATAGAAATCGAGAAGAAATAATTCAAGATTCGCACAGCCTTCCATAAAAGAGGAGGTTATTTAGACCAATCATGTAATGAAAATAGTTATTTTACAAAAAGGCTCATAGGGCATCAATCGATTCTTTAGTCAGAAGTACGTTTTAAAATAAAAAGCTACTTTAACTGTACCAATCTTTGGAATACAAACCACTTATTTCCGTTTTAAGTAAGCGTAAATCAGCGTGATCCAGTCAATCTGAGGAAAGAAACTTATAAAAGATTGATTTAATTTGGTAAATTGAGCTAACAAGGGGTTCCAAGGTTTAGCATAAGACTAAACTTACGCGTGCTTTTGGCTGTTAGATCAACAGCTCGAATACCCATAAGTGCTTCATCGACACCGATCGTTTTGAGAACACGCAAATCCTCTCCAGTGTGTTTGTTTATTTGAGAAATTGACAGCGTTTGCCAGTCACTCCAGTAAAGATTTTCATCTATGGCAAGATACTGCATTTAACAAAAGCCTTTACGAGACAACACTGCCAAAAGCAGGATTACCCAAGAGGTCAAACCCAAAGGGATGCTGCAGATGACCAGAAACTATTTGCTTGGGATTATCCCCGCTGTAATCCACCCGGCTTATAATGCCCAAATAGGCATCCACATAGTAGAGATGACGGGCCTCAAGATCTAATGCAATCCCGTTAGGCCAAACCGTGTGATTGTGGTCAACAATAACTTCCCTGTAATACAAAACAAAAACGAACTCGGATTCACTACAGAGTAAAGCTGGTTCACTACTTGAAACAAACAATCCAGAAACATGAGAATTCAATCACCCTGCATTCGGAGAGGTCGACTTTAGGGTTAGATCGATATTATGCAGACCAATGAAAATAGGAAGATTAAAAACAAAAACGAAGATCATATTTCAAAATAGTTGGTACATTAAAATACCACAATTGTGCATAAAGTATTATTTTAGACTAATCAGTTAAGCGGTTTTGAATAACATCACTGGTTTGAATTAATCAGTGATAACACAATAAGGAAGCGAAAGACTGATACTGAGTAAGGGGTGTTAGCATCACGGATTTAATGCATTCAGAAGAATATATTCGAAATCTGCCAACTGTAAACTTATCAAACCTTAAATTTCAGAGAGCCGAAAAGGAGAAATTAAACCGATTCGGTTCACCTATGCGTGCCATCAAGCCAGGTGCGTTCAATTCTGCCTCGAGTTCCTGACCAGACATTAAAAAATAAGTATCGGTTAACTGGATCGATGACTAAGGCTGTTGGTCTTCGTTTGGCAGCCTCCTCCCCGTATGGATCAGAGAAAACGTCTGACTCGGTTGAATCACTAACACCATTGCCATCGAAATCCTCGAGGGTGAGAAGCAGCCGAGGCCAGGCTCCATCAAGACGGGAAACCCAAATTTGCTTGTTACCACCCGTGGACCAGTAGAGGTTACCTACTATCCAATCCACCGCAAGTCCATCTAGAGTTTGGAGGGCCCCATTAGTGGGCTCAATTACCGCTGTAGGATCTTAAAAAAATAAAGCAGATCGATAAGACCTGCTAAACACAACTTTTTCTTTTCGGATATTAAAATGTACTTACTTCGTTCCCCGAGTCTCAGACGGTAAATAGCGTTATCAACCCAATAAATGCACTCAGATTTGGGGTCAAAATCCACACGAACCAGAGTTCCGCGAGGATTTGGAGACACCCCTATCGGCCATAGGGGGCTGTCTGCAAGCTGACTGTCCAAGGAAAGCATAAAAATTTTTGGCGGACGAGCGACTAAGAGGAATTTTCCTGGATTCTTAGGGCAGATGTAAGAGCGAGGAAGATTGATTTGGGATTCCCCCTTGTTCAGACTCAGTGAAGTAACAACTCTGGCTGAGGATACGCCAGTTGGGCAGGCGCATGTGTAAAGATGCTTGGAAGGTGAACTTAAACACAAAAAGTTGCATCCAGTTTCGCCCATGTTAGTGAATCGCCTGAACTTTTCAGGAACACAGGTGACATTGCCTGGCAATGTTACTAAAAAGTTCAACAATATGCGCAGTTGATGATGGGTCACAAAGCAGTACCATTAGGGTTTCCTGAGAATCTGCCTTGAGCAGTGCGTGAAATGTTATAATTATTTAAAAGGCAGTTATGATCCATCACAACCATGTCTGTTAAATGTTCAAAAAAATGGCGGAAAACCAGATTGAAACAACGCTTACTATTTGTTTGTTCACTTCCACCAAAGACTTTGACAGCATAGGGCTGATAGCTAAAGGGCATGTGAACATGTGCCGTCAAGAAAATTGTATCTTTTTCAGATACACTGGTAATAGACATATCACTGAAGAAGTATATTCTTCCACCAGATGCAGCCAAGAATTTTGGTCGATCTTTACCCAGATCTGTAACAAATAAGAGTGTAAAGCATCAACACACCTGAAATGGCAACGTAATTCATGTCGCTGCCCTCGATATTGATACAAACGATTCGATTGTGAGTTTCATCGAGCCAAAGAAGTCGCTGCGTTGAGAAGTCGATTTTTAAGTCCCGTCCTTTGACTCCAGATTCTTCAAATATCATAACTCTTTGGCTGCCATCAAGACCGGCACTCTCTATCTGGGTGGACTCACCCGACTTGAGCCAGTAGATGGACCTACGACATAGTATGAGACTTGTAACAAACCTAGTGATCGGGTCCACACATATCGACCTTAAGTTGCTCAAATTCTCGGATATTAGTATCTTCTGTTTTGTGATTGACATCAACCCAAGATTGATCTCGCCGACTGCAATATATTCCTCTTTGAAATCAGCCCAGTAGACCATCATGTTGTGCCAATCTATTGCCAATGCGTTAATAGCACCATGCTCCAGTCCATAGATATTATGGATTTGGAAACTCGTTAAGTTGATCGCCTGAGCAAAATACGTTTAGGTATTATGTACTACTTTGATAACAGATATAAAATCAGTATGCTGCAAGTGATGGTCCCCGACGTAAAACACCAATTTTTCGTTAAAACTATAGTCAAATGCACCTAAGGTAGTCAAGCCGTCAGCCAATATTTGACTCTGCATGGGTGATTCCAGACTGAGCTGTCCCAGGTTGTTCGAAATGAGAAATGTAGTCGGGACTAAATAATAAATGTCAATAAATTATCACTTTAATTTACCATGGCTGCCTGCTAATAATTTAAACAGCAACGATGTAAAACAGATAAAATTAATCAAATGCATTATCTAGACAGTAAAACGAATCTGCCCCATTACAACGCCCGAATAACTACCAGGTATGAACATATGGGTCAGAGAGAGGGTAGGGTGAATAGTTAACAAATCAAGTCATTAGTTGCTAATTAGCATAGTGTTTGGCAGTAGGCAAGCATCAGGAGTAATAGGTTTCGCTGCCACTGCTTTTGTGGCTTAGCGGCACTTTAAAAGATTTTGGTGGCCCTTACGGGCATCCGCCTTAAATTTTAAAAACAAATGCCCCACCTCTGCTTCCTAAATAAGTTCCCAGTAGAATCCATTCACCCCGCCTTAGTGAAGTTTTTCGCATTATTGCAATTACTTATAACAGCAAAACTGGTCTTTCGTCTTTGCTGCAGTTTGACGGATAGATGTACGAAGAAATTGAAATCCCAGCATGGCGGTCCGTACTGTAGAACAGTTTGATGTTACATTAGTACTTGTTCTCATTCGGCTATTATTTGGGTGCTCAGGTTCTTCAGTCTCTGCTGAATAAATTTTAATTGGCTCGATGTTCCTTTGTCCTGCCTCTTACTTCAGACCCTTTGATCGGGAAAATTGACAGTGGCCCAAATCTTTCCTGAAGTCATGATAGTGTGGCATAAAATGTGTCACTGATTTCCATAGGGGCTTAGAAGCTGCCAAAATGATTTGGAGGTCATGCATTTGAGGGGAAGTACTGTAGCGTCCTGAGACTTCCCTGAAGACGAAAGAAGACATATTCTCGGGCAGAATATATTCAACACAGGGAAGGTGTTTGGGCTACTGGCATGGCCCGAAGGCCAGCCCAACCAGCGAGGTACAAGAAGGCAAATTCAATGGTTTAAAAGTCGAGTCTCACCAACACCGAGGGATAAACCACCATTGATATCGATATCGTTCATTACTGGTTTGCCAAGTAAGCGTATTTGCAGGATAATTTTCTATTCCCCTATTCTCACAGGAAGGTAGCAATTCTAACCCCATTTCCACACACCCTTTCCTGAGATACTGAAGTTGGAGCTACTTATATGAAGTATTTTCACCACTTTTCTGTAATCTTTTGTTTTTATGTGCATTGGGAATTGACTATTTTAAAGCTTGTGTGTGGTAGGTTGTGCTGGGCTGGTACGATTGCATTGTGGTCATGGGTGTTTGTTATTTAAAGATGCGAAAAATTTTTAAATCTGGCTCAACTCATCTCTTTATTCTCGAGCATTTTTGCTGCTACATAGGTAAGGGCTTGAATGTCCGGGGTTCCGGAAGTTAGCCTAAAATGCGTTCGATTATTTGTTTTATTATTTTTGTCGTGCGAACTGGTTTTTTGCCATCGACCTTGGCATTAGACAAATTCTGTTGAGAAAATAAGGTACACAGTTCTGGCACTTTTTTATTTTGCAGTTTGCTTTTGTGCAAACCGGAGGAGCTTTTAGTTCGTTGCGCAGTTCTCGTACAGGAGTCCCTGTTAAAGGCGTTCGATTTTTTATAATTCCTTGTTTGAATATACCTGCGATAGATGGGGATATCTGACAAGAGACGCGCGTTTTTCTGCGCCCCATATTTAGAGTTGTTCATTATTGTTATTTTCATTTATAAAATGGGATCGGACGTTACTGAGAGCGAGTATTTCATGCAAGTTAGCACTCTTATGAATACATTGTTTTCCGTACTTTGTGTCATTTACTGCTGTAGTTTCTGCTTTTGAGGCGTTTGAAAGGCAACTTGAGCGCCGTCGATATGCTGAGTTCCAGTATATGAAGATTTATTTGGATTTTGCCTTTGTGTAATGCATACAAGATTGTTGAGCTCATGCCTTAAGACTCCCTTCATTTGATTCTGTTGTTCTTTGTCCAGATATTTTTACCTAACCTATGCTCTACCATTTGGTAAATTTGTGACCATTTGCACAGCTTGTTTATTGTGGATGTACATGCTTTTTAAATCATTTTAAGAAGTATCACAATGGACTCCAAATACTACGATCTCGACATACCTCGCAAAACTGTCTCACCTGAGCTCATCGCCCGTCTTCTTGATTGCGAATATCTCTACATATGCATCAACACCACGGTTAGCGTCGACGAATTTAATTTCAAAGACAAAAAGAAGTCTGCAAAAGAAGGTAGACAGCAGATGCGTGCCTCACTCATTGAAAAGCTGACTCCGCTTACTGTTTCGGAGCTTACAAACCTTCTCGAACAGGGTGAACAATTTCGCTCGTCTTCATCCTCTAAGCTACCTGCACTAACCCCACCACGTCTTTTTAACCGTCTTACGCTTGCCTGTGTGGACACTGATATAGCTGGTCTTTTTTTCAAAGAATTCGCTGACAGTATTCGTAAATTTGACGTTGTCGCCTTTGAACCAATGTCTTCAGCTGCTCTTACCTATGTAATTGAAACACTTGCTTCGCTCCCTATTGATTTAATTACGGTCAACCCAGTTCATTCATTCTCCAGTGATTTTCGACCCACAGGCAAGCAGTGTAACCAGTGCCTCCGACGAGGCGTTTATCTTGATCTTCCCCTTTCCCCCTCCCTTTTCCGCTCAGGTGCTTCGTCTTCCACGCGGTTAGCTCTAGCCGCATTGTTAACGCACCTGGACTCGGTATGTCGATTCCATTTCTCACGCCTCGTCGTAGTTACCAGTGGAGCGCAGACAGGGTGGGAGGTACGACGCCCCCAAGCCGTGGCCTCGGTGCTCTGTGCCATCTGTCCAACAGTTGCAAGAGGAAGCGCTTCTTTGGTCATGCAGCAAACCAACCCCTGGCAGGCACTTTCTCATGGTCTGACGCGGTGCGAATCAAAAACGTCTCATGGGGCCGCGATCCTCTTGCGTCTTCTTGCTGATCCCTCAGTCATTGAAGTGGTTCAGACTTCTGCATTAAATGAAGCCGATTTGGACAAAAAAAAGGCCCCATTACCGTGTGTGACTGCCGCACATCGATCCAGCACAACGGAGGAAACAAATATCACTTCTCCGAAAAAGAGGAAAAGGAAAATGGAATCATCATGAGTTGGTGGTGACTGTAAATCGTCAGAATCGCTACCTATCGCGTGCATCACGTATATTTGTACTTGTGAATTCCTTTTTAATTAAAACGCCAAAATCACTCCAAACTATTTTTCATCTCATCTCATCTGTTTTGCTTCCCAATCCGCTAACGTGTTATGGAACACGATATCGAGAGTTTGCGATTGTCTTTTTGATGCTGCAGTCGTCCGCTAGGGAATGAGCGAGGTGAGCGATGAGCCATTCAAAACAAGGGGATATAGCGCCTCACTGTCATTTTTCTAAGAATAGCTTAATAAAATTGCTCGGTGTACGATGAGTCGATTATTTTACCAAGGTAGTATTTTTCCATGTGTCCTAAGCTTGCTTTTAGTGATAGGAGGACTCTGCATATTAGTGTACCAGCCTATTTAAACCGTATTGAGGCATACTGGTAGAATGGTTGTTACTATAGCGCTACCTCTGCCTTCCTACGGAAAATTAGTTCTACTTGAACCAACTTTGGTGTATATGGCGATCCAAATTATGGTCATTTTTAACTACTTGGCTGTCTCACATCAGATACTGGGCTTAATGGTAATCTAACGTTTGGGGATGAGGTTTTTTTGTTTGTTGGATATACGGTGTCGTATGAGGATTGCTGTGCTTGTATTATCTTCGACATGGATTATCTGAGACACCACGATTATTGCCGCCGCAACTGTCATCACGATCCTTGGTTTTTTAACCTGTTACTCATTAATGCGCGCTTCTTTAGTGATAGCAGCAGGTGAATCACCCACCCTCAATTTTCCTAAGTTCTGTTTTCACTTGGAGATATCCTCTGAACCTATACTACGCGTGTATGTAGTTTACATTATCTTGAAGCTTTTAAGCCTGGACGTCAATAGTAGGGTGGTGCTTGGATTTCCTCGTTTTTTTTACTGCGTTCATTAGCCAGCCTTCTTCAAGAAGTGGTATTGAGTTGTCGGCTGGGAAGATCTGTCTGTCATTGTTCGCCTGTTTCAAAGCTTCGGACTTACATTATGAGGAATTTTGAGAAGACAGCCTTCTATTGTCGTTGTACATATGGAGGAGTGGTGGCTTTGTTGCTGAAGGGGATATATTGATGTAACTTGTGTACACATGGCGACGGGAGCAATTGGAGGACTGTATTTTAACGCATTTGGTTCGTTTTCTCTGCACTTCTGTTTCACGTGTCGGTTCTGAGACCAAACTTTGGGAGAAGCAAAAATCTATTTTTTTGCCAAAAACAAATTGTTTACCGTTAGTAAATGTGTTAATATACTTTCACCGATACGATACTATAGGATGTCTGACTTCATTAGCATTGATATTTTGAAATGGATCCCCACCTGGGCGCTGAGACATGGAATTTCTATACCCAGATGTCGGATTTTCAGAATCGAAACGATGACGATAATTATACCTACAATTTTATCAGTTACCGCGTTTAGCATGCAATTATGTATTAAAGTAGTCAATTCGTTAGAGAAATTTGTGGGGTTCCAGTCTCATCTTAATAAAATAACCGAAAATACCAGGAATGCCCAAATAAAATGCAGGAACCGAATGCACTCATCTTGATTCATTTTGGATCATCCACAGTGCTCAATTTTTACACAAATCTCGATGTTTTTCCTTACACCAACCAGCTCAAACAGTGTTTGGGATTCACGAAACGACGGGAAAATCGTTGAACACTGCAACACCAAAACCGGCAAGACCGGTGTTTACTAGTACATGCAGTCGGTAGTCAAGGGAATTTGTCTGGTTGACTCAAGTTTGCCCAGCTTTTTAACATAATCGTCCAAGTCTAGTATGACAGGAAAGTAGATTGCACAAACCGCACATTACGTAGAAGTGTGAGAACATCAATTCAATTCCGCAAACTGGAAATTTCAATTCGGATTGACTTGTTGGACGCAACTTTAAGACTGTTGAAGCTGTAAATATTTCCTCACGAAGCCTACTCGAATATCGTCCAACCGTATGTTGGATTGCTTATTAAAGCCTAGTGAATTGAAAGCTCACAGCCTTGTGGTAAATGAAGGTGAACGTGCACTACGCCGTCCATCTGCAGCTATCTGCGTGGGTTAGCCCCTTCTGTTAAGGCAATTCTGGGTTAGCAGTAAGGTACTATTCACTACTGCATTCCACTCCACAATTTGCACCTTCAGAACCAAATTTCGCCAGTGTGAAACACACTAACTCTGCATAATGAATGTGTACTCCTATTTTCAAATAAGTGTGCATGATCTGTGGACAATATGATGGTTTGTTGAAATGCGTTATTATAATTATCATTAATGAATAAAACAACGTGAATTTGTTGATACATATTGCAAACTTTATATGGGATATTTGTTTATAATGGGTATGTTCAAATAGTTACTTAAACACCACCCAAACCATTTGCAAATTCTGGCTTCTTTTTTTCCTATTTTTGGTGACGTTTCAAGTTTTACTATTTCCCTTGTTTCTCAAGATGGATGTTGTATTTTAAGAAAAACTTATTCTGAACTGCTATTTCAAATTAAGTTGCGCTTTTATTACTTAACAAAACTTAATTTTGGACTTCCTTATGGCTTATCTTCTGAAATACTACAAAGTGTAATCATTCAGACAGGTGACATAAATCACTCTTCAAGTCATGGGAATACATTTGCCACCCAGTGATAAGGAACCGATGTTCAAAAAAGGGGTAAACGTAAGGTAACAGTAAACAGCAATATTCTATGTACTCATTTGCCAATTCTTTTTAAGTTACGGGAAGATATCGGGAACCAATTTAAGAAATTGGTGGCATCCTCTACAAAGGGTGTAGGCTTGGTGTTTTTAATTACTTCTCCCTCACTTCAGTTTCTATGAGCTAAAAACATGGATGTACCACATCATTTTATTTTTTTCGCCTGGAAACTGGATCTAATTGGCCATGGTTAGTACCTACATAAGAGCGCTGTTAAGTACTGGGAAAAATCCATGCTAACCGGATCCTAATTTGGGAAGTTGAACCTTTCTCTGACGCCTAAAATGCCGATGTTTACGTTGTAGCTTCGGTTTGTTACCTGAAGTTTTTTCATTGGATATTGCTGTAGTCATGGCTTAAAATCGTACTAACTGATAATTTGATTTTACGCACTAGTTACCTAAAGCAATAAGAGTCGATTAGGTAACTACAGTCAATACGATAAATTTTAATTTCTGTCTCATTCAAAAGAACTTAGTCTCAAACTGAACTGTAAATGTCTGACCTTGATAAAGGATTGCCGGAAAATGATTGTCCCATCTAAAGCTTTTGAGGCTTTTTATAACATTGACGAATTAACCGTCCGATTTAAGTTAATAAGAGTGGCAATGATCAAACACCGTTCCATTTGGTTTGTAAATTGGTAGCAAATGTGTGCCTTTTTAGACACTCCATCGAAATAACTGAATATCTGGTTTATTAACTCGTATTTTTTTGCGAGTGGGATGTTGCTGCTATGTTGTTCGCGCCCATTTGGCCTTCATAACTGTTACTTTTGTTTCTACCTATTTATTTAAGTAGAACTTCTGTGACTACAACAAGTGCCACCACAAGTCAGTTCACTTGCTTCCAAATGTTTCAGTTCCACTTGTTACGGAGTGTTAAACTTCCCAATTGATAAAACCTAAAGGTTCTAATCTCCATAGGTTTATATCGAAGTATAGATGTTCGTTACACGTGCACTTTTAAAGAATTATCAAGATTTGATAAATGCAAATATGGTGGTTTCAATTTCTAACGTAAATAATATCAGTATTTCAAATTCCATCGTTTTGTAAGACTCCTTGGGGTTGGATAGTCTCAGGAACCACTAATTTTGTTATCCACATTGAAATGTGTATTTAATTTATTGGGTTGTGCCATCAGTCTTCATGAAGGGATGCATCTGTGTGTTTAAAAACTGAATTAAAGTGCTTAATCGGTATTTGATCATTATCACTCTTATTAACTTAAATCAGACGGTTAAGTCGTCAATGTTATAAAAAGCCTCAACAGCTTTAGATGGGACAATCATTTTCCAGTAATCCTTTATCAAGGTCAGACATTTACAGTCCAGTTTGAGACTAAGTTCTTTTGAATGAGACAGAAATTAAAATTGTTCGCACTGGCTGTAGTTGTGGTTTAGGTACTATTGGTTCGCCTTAAAGACTGAGTCAGATGAATTCTAAAAGCGCTCATTTCATGTAAAATTAAAAAAAAAAACTGTTACAAGCTTAACTTAAAACACTTTACTTTGACTTATAAAATATCGGCAAATAAGTGATGTTTACAATCAGTTTATGCAAATAGTCTTGCTTCTAACCAGCGCTAGAGGAAAATTACCTACTCTATGTGAAGAAATTACAGTATTGCTTTAAAAGGGTTTTGAAAATGGATATTTCGTGCCTACTTAGGTTAGTAAGATCGGTCAGTTTTCTTGTGTTTGATGGTCGTTGGTGCTATGAATTAAGAGCTGTAGATTAAAAAAGCACCATTGCAAAGCATTTAAGTTGTCAATTTTAAGCTTTTGGCTTTTCAACATCAGCGTTCCATGCAGGTACCGAAATTGCGCAGAAAATCAGTGCCATATTTTATACTCGGTCAGAAACGACTTGCCCATCTCTTCAGGCAGGTGCCTTTACTCTCACGAAGGATATGAACCAGTTTTTGGAGTTTCATGGGGACAAGCGAGGCAGTACGATGGCAGAGACTGAGCCATTACCTTACCCGAGGCGCACCTGCATGTTTGGCTTTGAACTGGTTAAATCAGGTGAATGGCGCCTTTAATCATTGTCCAGCATTTCTCACGCGCCACCCAACGGTTTCTATATCGCTCAGCACAAATCTGCACTGTGCATAGGCTCCTGCAAATTCTTTGTTGTGCTTTTCAATGTCATGAATTTGTGGGAAATCGGCAGTATTTATCAAAGATATAGGTCTTTACCTGCACAATTCCTGCCAAATTATTTTGACTGTCATTTGAGATCTCCTTTCTGTAAAGCGGGAAAATACTAATGTTTTTATTCATTTCTAATTTCCCCTTTATTTACATTATCATGAGTTGAAAGCACTGGCCGTTGACTTGTGCTTACGGGTACATCCATTGTTATTTTAAGCGCCAACCCTTGTTTGTTTGAAGTTTTAAGGTATTCCACATGGATTTTAGCGTTCTACTTGGGACTATCTCTGTATACTTCGTATGCGGAATGTTTACCATTGTTTAAATAAAATGAGATTTTCTTAGTTCTTACAAAAAGTGAAGTCTACGTCTGAATTAATTAGAATTAATTCCTTAATACACCTCACTGATAATTAAAATAGCAAGAACGGGCGTGCAAATTGTCAAGCGTTGAGGCAGTTTTCTTTGTCGTGATGGATTGCCCAGAATCAGGGGTTCTGACAGCTTGTGGTTGACTATCACGATAAAACGACTTGGTCCACTCAACAGCATACGAACAAATTTCGTTCACTATAAGCCTGTCTTTAATGAGACCGTAAGAAAGTATTTTGGCATACACTGTGAACAAGTGTTCTTATGAGCTTACTGTTGTTAAAGAAGGTGCAATAGTAATAGCTGAAATCAAAATAAAAGTGTGGGTATACCCGAGTTACTAGTCACCAAAATGTAGCTACTTACTCGCATACCTGTTTCATTCATAAGGTGGAGCCAAAAGGGCAAATCACTCTTTACAGGACAGCCTCTCCCACTTTAGGCACAACTTTATAAATTCGTAATTTAAGTTAATTCTATTGACTTATTCATCTGGTTTGGTGTACGGTAGGTGTATGCTAAGCATTTCTTTGATGATAAATAGCTCGCTTCATGAACAAACGATGTTAAATCCTCTATCACACTAAGATATAAATTAATTGGATTGGCAAAACCTTCTTAGGGTAAGAGACATCCCTCGTGCGAACGTTTGCATACTGGAAATTGGTGACTTATGATTAAACGAATTGTCTTTGTAGTGAAGGTTGATCATATAATTGTGGTATTGACTTCCCTGGTATCCTCATTTCACACGACATAATTTTTTCAAATAAAGTAAAGGTGGGATCATTGCGATCTGCACAAAGACGATGCTGATGGTGAATAGGAAAAAACTCCAAGGCGCATTTACCAAGGGCACGCACGCCTAAGAAGTAGAGGGAGATACAAAGACGAAGAGGCCGCCGACGCTGCCCACATCCTGTTTTTTTACATTTCTACATTGAGAGGAGTCACATGCGACAATAGAGAGCTCAGCCTAAAATAAGTAAAAAGAAATCGCCTACCGCGGTAATAGATCAGTCGATGTGGTCGTATGTCAACTTTGCAAGCGAGCGTCCATAAGAGTTTAACTAACCCGAGATATTCTCCTTTTCAGCTTTATTCCTGTCTTCTAAATAGTAGTAATAGCAACGGTGATACTTGGATTCCAAATTCAGTAAATGTTCAATGTTAGTGTGATTTCTGAGAGTTTATTTTCTCTAACCCATCGTAATTTGCCTATACCTCTCAGTGTTGGCAATCTCTCACATCTCACTTGGCAGATGAAGCCATCGATTTCGACGGCGCTAAACAAAACAAGGAATGGGCTTTAAACTGCGACTTAATTTGCCTCTCCATACAAAAGTTTTCTCTGCAAATAGCCAAGCGTGGATGCGTCAGTGTTTGTCTTCAGGGCTGAATCTTGTGGGGCTTTGGTTGCAGTAATTTAAAAGTGCACCCGCAAACCTTCAAAGTTATGGCTTCAGCAAACTTAATAATTGTCCGTTTATTGAGCGGCCATCCTCACTTGAGCTCTAAGTCAGTCAAAATCGAATCTAATGGAAATTGAAATTAATTGGTCCTCTTACCACTTATTTAACTCCTCAAAACCAAATTTTCTGAACTATGAAAACAGACGATTCATTAAAAATTTTTTTGATTTGGGACTTGGTTTCAGAACAGCCTGTCCTGGTGTCATTTGACAAGCTATAAATATAAAATGTATTAAAACTATTGACAAGCATTACGGTCATTTTAAAGCATTAAACCTTACAAGGACTGCTGCTGTTTTAATATAGCGAATTCACATGAATTACTTTATCCATTGCCATTCTCCTCATTAAGTGGAAATCGAGGTTAAGTATAAAATCCCCCATTGGCACGTGCAAATAGTGGATGTAGAAAAATGATGTATACGGGCAGATGATTGCATGACCACACAGGACAACAGAGCGATGTGAAAGACCCAGAAAGTGGACTTACACTCTGCGCTATAAGGTTGTATCAGCGACACCTATCAATTTGAAATTATTTGATTTAGCCTGAAGGTCCTCTGACAAAGTTGACGTAGCAACGCGCTTGTCTAGACTCTGACAGGCCGCTCCTGCAGGACTTGGTAGCCCCAGACACCGGAGGTTTATCAAAGCTGCGTGTTGGTCCCATGATTAATGCCCTCACCCAGAAGAGTCAGCTGTCGATGTACCCCACGAATTCAAGTCACCCCCTTTCATCGCCTCCGTTAGCGATTGGTGACAGTAATCTCACTTACTAAATCATTTCGTAAATTTCTGCCCACCGCCCGATTTTATCCAGTCGTGGTACATTATGATTGCATAGAAGTAAGCAACAGAATATCCTGATACACTTTGATGTATTTTGGTAGGTATCTTTCAGCTTGTACAACTTTCGAAACAAATACACCTTCATGTTACTGTTTCGAATTGTACCTGGGGCTAGGTGACAATAAAGTTTTTGGAAGTGTATATGCTGGAACGTAAAAATCCTTAAATTGCCATAAATGATGTAGCTGACCACCAAAAGTCTTTAAAATGCTTTTTTACAAGAGATTTTCAATAGATAGAGGTAGATAACTTCTATCACTAAAACTCAGTTAAACTTAGTCCAAAAAAACATCAGCTCGCTATTACCTAAAGCTACAATGCTCATTAGACTATTTCTTAGTATAATGAACAAAAGGGCGAGACGTATGAATAAAGACGGACTGAGGAGAGCATTTGCTGGAGATTTTATTTTCAGGGAACTGAAAAGTAATGCTTGTGCTTGTCTACTAATTATCTTCTAAAGAGATTATTTCAGCATTGTTAGCAATGTAGAACTCCCCTTAAGTTTTGAGTAAAAAGGCTTACTATGATTGACTAGTTGCCCGCTAATATTGAGTGTCTAAATTAGTTAATGCATTTGCACATCCTCTTTCTGATGCAATGGCTAGGCGGATGCATTTAAAAACCCCTCATATGATTCAAGGACTCATGCCAAACATTCATGTTGACCGTGACCCGCCGTACTCTTAGCAAATATATAAACCACGAGGTTGACATTTGTTCTACATGCACATCTGGTGTTCAAGTTTGATACTGCAAAGTGAGGGAAAGTAAAATTTACTTAACGAAATAAAATGAGTGTTATAACATGGATCTGCACAGAACCAGATCACCGGGAAAGCAGTTCACAAGGACCATTAGACAGCAGCGGACAATTAACCATCCACAGATCCAGGATGTGAGAGGTTCCTCAAACACAGAGTGCGTGGCTAAACAATGGCCAACCATTGATGAGAAGTCACACAGATGGGTACACACGCATGGGACTGCCCTTAGACTTCGTTCGTCCGCCTCGAGTGCTGGCCACACCCCATGCCACCGCTTGATCCGGAGCGGTCGAATAGAAGGGTCGCAGGAAGACTAAGGAAAACACAGTGACACTGCCCCCCTCCTCCAATGCGGATTGTATAGATATTGAATCAAACGACAACGTCTATGCAAGCTCCAAAATAAGGAGATTTATTGCAATCCGTTCATCGACGCTATGACCAATCTCAATCTGACCTTGTAAAGGTACCCTCATAAATAAAGTCGCATGATCAAAAAAAATTGAGTACCTTATAGAAGGATGTAACGTTTAAGCTTATTACCTGAATTTATTGAATTACTCCCAGAAGACTGGGCGATATTAATAGAAAGAGGAAATCAGTTCCATCTGCTACTCAAGAGTCCAAGCGGTGATTAGTTTTAGTAAACAGGATGGATGACAAAAAATGATGGCATACCTAGAAAATGCCATTCTAGAATCATCATCGTAAATAACTTTGGTTGAAAAACTTATAGCCCAAAGAAGGATTTGGCCTCAAAGACTGGAATGAACAGTGTTTGATTACTGCTTCGCCTCTGTTGAAAATGGTGGGAGATTACCGTCGCATACATAAATTTGAAGTCTATTCTAGAAAGAAGATGCAGCATTTCTTAAGAAAATACATTTTGTTATGCTACTTTAAACGTTAGTTGTGTAATTTTCTACAAAATAAGTCCATATTATACAAAGGGACAAATAATTTCGTTGCCATTCAACCCAAATTGCAACTGAAGTGCAGGCATATTCACTTATGACATTTGCGTTTCCGCAGAGGTGATTCAATTGTTCGTGGTCGTATAATGGAAATCAGAGCGTTTAAAAGTATTTAAGGCTCTACGGTTGGCAGAAACAGGGTTGAAGCATGAACCTTTCTTCCTCATCCGTTGCTTGCCTTCCATGCACGCTTGTGTTGGCTTATCACCATACCGTGCCCTCTTGCCCTTGGCTCCTGCCTTTTAAGTTAGCCGAAGTGCGCGTGTACATACACAGGGAATTCACCTTCCCAGAGGAGCATCTCCATCGAACAACACGCCCGGTCCTAAGATCAAAGGCCTGTGCGGATTAATCCTTTACTTCTCCCAAAGTTCTTTTCGCACTTTGTTCTAGTAGGTGTGACTTCGAGGTGGATGCTTCAAAAAGTTATACCTGGCAAGAGCTTGTCAAAATTCTGACGTTTAGTGAGCAAGTTTTCGGCATTACTTGTAATGAATTCAATATTTGAGCTTTGTAAATAATGCACTGCTAATTAAAGCAAATATCCAGTTGTTCCTTCATGATATTAGGACAGCTTAAAAAGAATAATAAGTAACTGTTGAAGGTGAAGAAGATCATTTGATAAAAACTTTCTTACATAATTATTCAAATTTATGAACTTTACTTATCTAGTAGAAGTTATGAATCGGCGATAAGGGAAAAGTCGTTTTGAGGATAAAAACTACTCTGCTATCACCGTCCATCGAGCAGACCATACAGAACGCTTAAACTATGGAAAGCGACATAAAATATGGAGGTTTTCTGGGTTTTAAATTTGTACTGATGAACATGAATTCGGTAAATTTTAATACAGCCACTAAAGTTTCCAAGAAACGTTTGTTTTTAAACACCAAACTTATTTTCAAAATAAAGGTGTAACCTGGAGGTTGTTCTTACCAGTCGGAATAAGATTGACTGTCTTAAAGGCTTAGCGTACAGCGAACCCAGTTCGTGAATTTAGATACTGTAACAAGTTAGTATCGCATCGAATAACCATTCCGTAGGAACTTATTTGAATTCTGTGAGTTTTGGAATATCAACCACCCAAAATCAATTAACTTATTTGGTCATTTAAAATAGCAAAATAAAGCTATGTGATATCGAAGAGATTTTGAAAGGGATGCATTTTTTTGATAATACATAATAAATTCTATTCTACCGATATTTGACATCATTGATCCTTTCATTCGAAATTAATCACTACTATGTTTTGTGAAGGACAGCGATGAAGAGGGCACTACCCACAATTACGCGTGGAAGGTGGTTCAATTTAAATTCACAGAGGAATGATGTTTCCCTTGACGCAGACACACAGAAATCAAGGAAATACCAGGAATTCAGAAGACGGTCGCTTTTATGTTGATGATGGGTTTCTCTATAGAGCGCCTGCATCGAGACCAGGAAGCAGGCACTCCGGATGGGCCTCATTAAGCGAGTGGCATCGAGGTGGTGGAAGTCGGGATGTAGGGCCCAACTTCAAAGGTCGCACACGTCTTCCCTCCTGCCACTGCCACTACAAAACTTCAGGCACAAGGGAAGAAAAATTGGTCCCTGTTCGTGATTAATCGACTTCCACATGCGCATGCGTATGCATACATGCACACACGCACTCCTTTGTCTAGACTGAGGAACAAAATTACGTGTTTCTGAGACCTACTTTTGCGTTTTAATCGGAGATCACACACGCAAGAATAAAGCAACGTATTCAGCCATAGGCTAGGACTCTGACTTATGAAACTGAAGTTAGATATTTTGTATTCTATTTTGTTGAGATAAGTACCGCTTTTGTTCCTGAATCGTTGCAAACTTCAATGCCTTTGCAAACTTCTACTTGTTTCTCATAAATTTTAAGTTTTACCTGTTGAAGCCAATTTAGCACAGTGCAATGTTTCATGTCAATTACTCAAAGTGTGTGAAACAACACCTCAATCCCAATAACTGTAAATTATATTAGTAATGATTGTGTAATTGATCACCACCAAAACTGGACAAGGGTGAATACAATGACTCATTCTTAACATTTTCTCAAACATTTGAACACTTTTAGTCAAAAAGTTTGGAACGGAAGCGAATTAGGCTAACATAAAAAAGGCAATGCACGATTAAGTTGTACATGATTTATTAAAATGATTGATTAACATAAAATCACAGCACAGTTAAGCAAATGGGTAGTTGTTTTAAACTAAATGGAAAGTAAAAAAAAAAAGACAACTGAAGCACACAGTGAATCTTAAGTATTTTATTTGGAGTAATAAGTGGGGCTTTGACGCATCAAGAGTCGGTAAGACCTTTCCTTCGTAGCATAACGCACTGAATAAACAGTCTTTAGTTCAATTCTATTTGATTTTAAATAAACAATTGTAATGAACGTGTTTAAACTGAGCAGTGTTACTCATTGCAAACGTTACTTTTCATTTTATCATACGTGGTTGCGGTAAGCAACTGCCGCGAGAAAACAGAACCATTGGTCAATCGGTTTGCTTAACACATTTAATCTAAGGTTAAATCATGTTAATTTCCGCTAATTAAATGGAAATCTAATTGGAATTTTTAAACTATCGAGTTAGGGAAGGAATATTTGACTCACCGATTTTAAGAATAAACATTTTTAAAGTGTAATAATGATCAGGGAAGAAAATTCTAAAGGAGGCGTGTCTTGAGGGACATTAACCATCAGCACTTCACACTAGGTTCTTTCATAAAATTGCAATTATTTTACTTGAGGATTTTAGGCGACTCTTATTTTTTCCTGAATTCATTCTTAAACGTTCATTTGCAGAATGTACTTATCACCAGTTGCCATGGTAATAAGCGTAAATTTTGGACCTTTAATAAGAAAACTCACCTTATTTTGAAGATTCAACGTCCGTCCAAATCCTCTGCTACGCTCCAAAATTGCGAATGCCTGCCAAAGTTATGATTTGTTGGAAGATGAGTTGACCAATTCATATTCGGAACTGTTTCTTTTACAAAATTTATTAGCACTTGTCTCACTTTTGTAGAGACCGATCTAGAATGGGTAGAGTTCTCTTCATCATCGTAAAAATACGATTTGAAAAACGAAGAAGTAAGCTATGGAAATTTGAACGAGTGAACGATTCATACAAAACTGATATTGCCTCTCTCTGTGTATTTACGGCTTTCACTTCATTTCTGTTAACACCCTGACCTTTCTTTAAAGCGTTTGTGTAAGGAATACATTCAAAACCAAAAGGCGATAGTATACTTGCAATTTTGCTAGCATATAATACGTAAATGCCGGAGTAATCTTGAAAGTGTCGTGAAAAGCTATCAGTGCCGCTGTTTGGCATTATTAACATGGTATGAAGGTTTTAAAATTCGAATATCCTTTACGCTAAATGTGCGTGACCAATAAAGTTAGGCAAAATTTCTTACCAATTAATGATTTATTCCACTCTCAAGTGTTATAGATTAAAATATCTTACCAGAATGTTAATTTTTATTGGTGAACCGGAATTTAGTGTCTCATAGAGGATCATTTTACTTGACTATGATCACTTGCTCATGCATTTGAATGACATTACTGAAAAAGGAGACAGAAAAATTTAGTGGATCAAATAAGAATGGTCAATCTCCGGGTTGTAATTTTATGGGTAACTTACACCAACTACTCCTGACAAGCATTTCGAAAGTCTAGAGCACCATTGCGAATGATGGAAGCACTTATGAAGCAAACGCTCCATTCCACTGTTCATAGCTAAAAATAAGCTGGGTTCTGGATTAATTAAACGCATTCTACTGATTCAAAATATCAAGATGGTTTTAAAGCTTACTGAAACTCACGCTAGCTCAGCTGTAAGCATAATATTGAAAAGGCGTTTAGTAATTCACACCTTAATTCGAGTACCAGCCACGTCGTTTCTCATCATCAGTAAAATTATTTAGTCTAAATATTCACCCAATAGTTTGAAAAAGTCTCTTTTGGATCAGAAACATTAGACTTCTGCAAAATTACTAAAAGCGTTTTTATTGAAAAATGGCCAAAGACTAATTGCTGCCTCCCATTCATTTAGCTTGGCTAAAGTAGTAAGGGTTACCTACTAAAGGATCAAATTAAACGTTTGGATATAAGATAACAAGATAGTGGGTTTTAATGTCAAAAGTAGGTTCGACGGTAACATGCCCTTTCTTACTAAGAAGGCCAACGATGGCTTGATGAACGTTTGTGTGAATGTGGGACTTCTTTGATTGATGAGATACAGCATAAGAAAAAAAGCCATACGTTCCTTGTCCCCCATTGGTTTCTTAGAGGTAGAGGAAATCTACTTTTATTCTTGTTCAGGCAAGAACCACCTAGGAACAGTTTTTCATCAGCTGCTTAGCACCATTTCGGTTATGAGCCTTTTAATATGTGCAATCGTATTTGAAGGTTGGAACACACGTTCTGGCAGCGGACACGATTATTTTAAAGATGTTTTGAAATTGATAATTTGTCTTTATCAATTCATTCATCAGTCGAGTCGATTGCAAAGTTTTTAATCGTGTAACCGTACGTATTCCTACCATATCCGAGCTTTACAAAATCATGTCCATCATAATGCTTTACCAAAGAAAAAAAACAATTCTAATGATCCTAAAAATACTAAAACCCATTTATTCCTTACTAGAAGTTAGTAAGATTATTTACTCATTCCTACTTCAGCTGTGATGTGGCATGAGGAATTAACTTGAATTTCTTCACAATGCCATGCCGTAACTGAGTCTCATATCCAAAATGGATTTTTGCCTCCGTTACCACAAGCCGTCTTACTTTAAGTGTAGCGTATACAACGTATCCCTACTTTGCCACTTTTTCATTTTGGACAACTGCGGTTTAAAAAAGGACTAGCATAGCTTCAAAGCCAGGGGTTACTGCTGCTACTGGTTGTAGGGCAAGAAAAAGTCGAGGCTAGTGATAAGAGGCAAAAAAGTCTTGCACAATATCTTACCGCTAATACAGTTGGACAGGCGCTGACCATTCGTTGAAAGTTGTGGTGGTGTATTAGGAGGAGGATGAGGAGGAAGCAGATGAAAAGGAACCGGTACGGAAGGAATAACAATAAGGAGAATGTCTCCCACAAGGACACAAAAATGCTTAATAAATTGCTGAGAAATCACGCTTAACGTGAGGGGTAGTGTGATTGCTTGGATAGCTGCTGAGTGCAAACCTTAAAGGATTGAATTTTAACTCCTCCGAGCCTTCAAATACATTTATGCGAATTTGTTTATTTATAGTATTTACCTGACAAAACATAGTCTTTGTAACGATCAGGTGGTACTGGTAAGCCTTTTACAGCAACCACGGTAGGAGTGAATAAGGATTTTAAGAAAAGAGAAATAATGGGACGTGGCAACTTGTTCCCACAAATTTGCTCATAAACTCGCCTTTTAGGATTTAGAATATTATATCTAGGTCTTTTGCGTAGTTTGTCGCATCTTTGTATATTTCTAAAAATTTACAAAGTAAATTTTTAAAACACAGTCAATTCCGCACTATTATTCTACTAATGTCAACAGTTCTCAAAAAATTAGTTTATAATTCTGTTTGCAAAGACTTGCCTTATACAGATTTCTTCAGAATAGAGAGCTTTCACAGTCCATGAACCACGATTTATAATTCATATACACATGCTATGTTAAGCAGCATCGAGTTAACAAAGGGTTCGGTTTCTGCAATTAAAATATCGTACTTCGTCTGTACCTAGATACACACAGCTTCTCAAAGGTTTCGGAATTCATCTCACTTTGAAATCGACTCAATGTTTTCCTCCTTATCATCCAGAGAATAAATGTATTGTCTCCCCCGTAATCATACTAGCATTGATGGTTTCAAATAAATGAGGCAATGATGCCAAACTGTATTAAATTTTCGGCCCTAACATCTGGGGTTGACTGCCAGGCAGAAATTTGCAGAGAAATGATGAATTATCAAGTCGCGTGTCTGGTACACCTTAACACGTACAAACACGTAATCGCTCTCACCTAGTTTACTGTCTTTAAAATTCCTCCGTCTAACCTCTTCTTCACTTAACTGCCTTGCCCTACTGGAGTAGACTTCCAGAAATTAAGGTTGAAGAAGTAAGGGCACCCTGTCAACTGTCCTCCCTCCCCGCGTGGTCCAGAAAAGCGTGTCTAGACGCTCCTATGCGGCCTCACACGCATATAAGTGGCCAATAAAAATCGGGTACTGTTGGAAAATAACTAATGCATCAAACCACAACTGATCATTTTTAGGTCTGGTTTGAGGTTAATGTGGAAGTCACTGTTATGGTTTTTTAAACCACCAGATGTTTCATTGTACATACGTATTTATTTGTAACGCTATATTTGCGTTTTTACAGCTAAATTTCCTCCTATAAAATACATCTAACTGGACACTTAGAACGTAATAGCTTAGTAGAATATATTGTCTACAAGAACATGAACTGACGATATTTATTCGCATTAAATGTATTATTCTCTCCTGAGTCTTGTAATATGTGAATTAATTACATTGAGTTCATTGTTTTGCCTTGTTATATCAGTGGTTTCGACGTGGTTGAGATGCCTTCCGTTCCCCTATCCTGGGTTACAGTGCAGAATTCAAAAAGCCTTGATAAATGCTGCATTTTATAACCCTGATCAAAATAACATTTAAAGAAATCATGGGTTTCTAGATCATCAATTATTTGACTTATAAACCCATCTAAAGACCCAAAGAGGGCGATAATTAGAAGTAGTCACTTAATTACCATTTTCAAAAGCAAAGTAAGTCCTGTGTGTCCTTGTCCTTGCATATTCCATTCCACCAACGGTTTTCTATGAGACAGTGCACCGTTCCAGACGAAACCTATTTTCGATAGTCAAATATTCACGACGATGGACACTTGTGGATAGCAGACGTAATGAGTGTGTTGAACAAGAAATTTCATAAACTGCTTACTTATTAAATCTATTTCACAACGTTGCGTAAAGCTTCTGCAGACTAGGACACTGAAACAATTCATGCCAAAAATTTGGTATAGTAGTAACATCCTCAAAGGAATTTTGCTGTAGGACTTTAACAGTATTGGCTTTATAAGGAAACCTTATAAGCTTCCGAATGCTAATGTACCAATAGGTCTTCAAATTTTTGTATCTTAATTGCTTTTTTTCTAATATGATTGTGAGTTTGACACTCACCGCTATAAATCCATAAAATTCATTTTACTTTAGTGTATTTTATTTTAAGGAACTTGATAAAACCACGGGGTAACTTTAGTTTGCTTTATGTACCCCTCTCTGCAAATACGCGAATTAAGGCGGCCAGTCAGGATCATAAAAATGACCAAACTGACTGTGTAACGCCTGATTTGAACTGATGCAGCCAATAGCCGCTTAATTCTTATTTGATTCATTAGGCAACTGCAACTACGAAGCAGCGCATTTCTGATTGCTTATTTTCGTGAAGACCACTAGACTTTTGGCCAAATTATTTTCGTGCATGAAAGTGTTTTTCGCAATGAGGCAAATATTAACTTATTCAAAAGGATAGATTCTACGAAACTAAGACTATCACTGCATAGCTTTAGAAATGCTCACTTAGAGATGGTTACTTTTTCTCCCTTAAGACATAGACTCTCAAACACTAAATCACTGCTTTCGATAAACTCATCGGATAATATATTTATCTTAAGACCTTTTTCATAAAGTAGATAAAATTACAACTGCTGCAAAGTATGCATGGACATCCATAACTGAAGAAATATCCCAATGTTCTTAGTGTGGAAGCCTAAGTTGGAGATAGTAAGTAAGAGACTTGTTGTTTTGCAAGTGGACATCTCCGAATATTCTTTTGTTGCATTGTAGGGGGTGGCCGTAGTCACAATGGAAATCCAGATACGACGTCCTCATTTAGCCTATTACATCTATACGCAATCACTGTAATAAAATTTTATAAAAGATTTTTGTTTTAGTCTGAATCAATCGAACAAAGGGATGATAATTAATAAAAAAGTGGAACACTAATGTATTAGCTGACTGCTTGATTGATTGTGATTGGTTGTTTCGTAATTTAGCAATAGCATGTTCTACCAGTATCAACCTAATAAATATCAGCCTGCAATTTTGCAAGGTCAGATGTCTCATAAAGTGTTTGACAATTGACAAACTTGAGTTTTGCTGCCTAAGGCCATTCGTACTTTTCTCAAAATAGGGAATAATAGGATATATCAGAAACACTAATTAACACCTGGCTTACTGAAAACTTTAACCTCCCTTACCTGTTAGGTAAACATGCCTAGAATATTTTTTTTCGTAATCACCCCGTTGGGTTGGTTACCTTCCCTGGTAGTCAGTATCCGTTATAAATGATAAGAAACTGGTTTAGCCTAAAATTTCTTCGAATTTTCGAAGACTACCAAGTGGTTGTTAAGCTTCTAGTTCTAGTATAGCAGGGAATAAAAACCCTTTTGTGGAATGTTTACCTTAATGACACCTTAGGCGCACCTAAAGTGAGAGTAAAGCCCTGATTAGAAATTTTAATAAAAAAAGACTACCGCCTCTTCCGATCAGAAGGAGGTGTGTACGATAAACCCCCCACACAGAATCGGTGTAGGGGTGATGGAGCGAACCAATCTGAACTCTGCAGACTGTCATTGGTGCGCATCCTACATTGATCTAAAGTTACTCTCCCATTGGTTGTGGAGGGCACGTGTGGAGCGGTCCACATAAGCACGTTCAGGTAAGGCGCGGCACGCGCCTTTTGGACATACGGACACACATGCGCGCACGTGCGCATCCATCAACCGGCCAATAGACTTTTCAAGGAGATCGTCATTCGTTGTCCTAAACGGCCATAAAAATCATTGGTCACCAGTCATAAGCCCCACTTTTGATTGATGGTCAATTCCACAGCAACTTTGGGAAGACAAGGGTAGGATATTCACACAAAATTGACAAAAATAACAGCAGCTACGTCAAAATAAAGGACATCCAATCTAGCGCTGCGCATGGACTCAGACAGTGGTGACCTCAATCGCCATAGTAACAGTGCATCAACCCTTTTCTCATTTCCTCTACAGCCTACTGTTCACAAGGAACTTTCCCTCAATCCCTCTATCCACGCACATCAGCAGCAACACCAACCTTTAAATAATTTGCAGGAAATGCTTGAGACATCAACAACTCTGGACCACTCCCATCACATCCAATTCGATAGTCAAGCCTCAACGTACTATCCATCGCAACTCCCATCTACGTACGATGAGGGCTCTCCTGAGAGCCTCCGAAAGGCCTCACCGGTGAATTTCCTCCGCAATTTTCCGCCATCTAAGCGACTAATTGACCTTGAAACGGGAGCCCTGCATGCTCTCGATGCTACAAGTGGTTTTGACAGCGTCAAAGGTGATTACTACAGCAATGCGGAGGGATATGATGCAAATTCCAGGGCACAATTCCTGCGAAATCCACCTTCAGACTATTATTCAATGGAAACAGTATTTTCAGTACCTTCATCTCATCCATCTCAAATGACCTCTATAACGTTCCCAAAGGAGGATGAAGCGCAAGGGGAACTTTCTGGCGATAGTGGGAGAGGGTATGACTACACCTCACCACATTCCAACGCCCAATTGAGACAGCCACAGTCATTGATGTCCCAAATGCGTTCAGAACCTGGGTACTCCAGTTTAGAGGAAAGCTTCGCGAAAGTCTCCGCGCCACCACATGCGACAATTCCATCGCAGCATCCTCCTTCGACCATACCATCCACGAATAATGCTAACAACAATGGTGGTAAAGCCGTGGTATCCAGACTTCAGGGTAGCAATGCTGGTACGACAGCGATAATCTATCCGTGGATGAAAAGGGTGCACTCCAAAGGTGCGTCTTTTTATTTATTTTTATTCAATTTTCTCGACCAAAAACGTGAAATATTAAATTATACTGGATCTTGTTTAGAAAATAAGACTGGTGGTACAAGTAGGGGTACGACCGGTATTTTCTAATTACCTATCATTGTTGTCCTGAAATATCTGGTAGTCTCTAGCTCTTTTGCGATTTCCAGATGCTTTCAATGTCCATTCTAGATGTTCACAGCTGACGCTTAAATCAAACTTTTAACAGAATATGTGGGCTAAGACATAATGCTTTAAATCGCGTGCTTCCCGTATGGTTTAATATTTATATCATACGAGGTAAATGTGTGTTATCATCTGCTAAAATCCTCAATTATTAAATGTGTCAAGTGTCCGCCACATGAAAACAATATTGAAGGAAATATTTGCGATGTTATTCTATAACAGTTGACTTGTTATTAATAGTAAATAAAAGAGAACACCTTCTTTCCTTCGGTGCACTCTTCTGGATTGAAAAATAAACTAATTGGTTAACTCGTTTTGATTGTGCAAATACACTTAACCTATACAGTTCTGCTCTTGCTACATTGTGTATGAAAGATTGAATGACCTTTTATCTTCTGATGTCCGATTTTTAAAATTGCTAACTCAGAGATGAAGTTGCTGTTTATCACTTTTTTATGAGCAAAGTAGAATTCTGATTTCGAAAGGGCTTGCCTGATTAATAACGGCATTAAATATGTCATGACAAGGGATTACTTTGTGTTTATCGCTTGAAAAAGGATTAGTAGGAATAGTAAGCCATATAACAAGCAAATTACGTTGCGTTACTCCCGTTAGCCGTATTTTTACTGCTTTATGCTCTATCGATTTCTCGATATATTTGCAGCCTAATCGAGACATTATTTTTTACCATAAACGAGAGTTTTTACTTTTATTTGAACTTCTTTAATGATAAACAGTTTAATATCATCCATTTTACCATGCACCTGCATTAAAATACTCGTTTTATTTAATTTTTAGGAACTAAAATGAGGCTTTTTCAAAATGTTTAAATCAGCTTGCAAATGAAGTTATAACATACGAGCTAATTTTCATTATTGGACATTCATTTTGTCCTGTATATCTGTTTGAATTTTGCTTTCTGTTTTGTCCTGTCAACATCAAATGCAGGAGTACTAGGAATGTGGATATTGTTTAGATATCAACCAATTGTCTACTTGAATGCTTTTGCTTTGCTTTGCCCCTAAATATGGCATGATTTTTCAGACTTGATGAAGTTGCCTGTTGTCGAGGCAGCTGTCTTCTCAATCTGATAATTTGGATGCTTCATTTGAAAAGTTAGCATCAATAACCAAATTTTAAGGTGTTGAAAATGATTAGTAGTTTAAAACAATTATGAACAGCATTAATGTAGGTTACCCAGGTCTCAAGTAATCATAAAATGACCGATTTTTAAATCGGTTTTTACTTAGAAAAGGTTCTCTATTAGTGTCAATTTCAGCCTGTCTAGTTAAAGTTGGAGCCACTTAAATGCCGTAAGTCACTTCAAGGAAAGTCGGCATAAAGGTTCGAAAAAAAGGCTTTCGGCTTTGACGCATTCAAAACCAGCTGAACTGTGGCATGTTTTCGCACTCATTTAGACGTTGAAAACAATGTCCGAAGTCTGCTTAGGATAGTCATCAGACTTGATGTTCTCCCATCTGGGGTCTGAGAGTGCTAGGCTGACAGAGGCTTCAAGTGCATTCCCCTGAGACTTCCAGCCTTACAGAGAATTGCCTTTTTCTGCACTTACGATATAATGTTTAGACTAAGCTAACACTTGGGACTATGCTAATTGACAGTTACAAGTAATTCAAATTTCGGCTATCTTTTGCAAGATAATCAAAGTTGAGCAACGTGTTTTCAGCGCGTAATAGATCCAGCTAAATGTATGGTATGTATGGGACATTCACAGCATTTAAGTATTACGCATAAGTTTTAATCAGATTCTACTTAAATCTTTTAGACTAATAGGAACGCACATAAGGCACCTGGTAATTTTGTCAATGGTAATACTAAGTCCACTTTGTTAAGTCTGAACAAATAATTGTTAAAAAAACCAATCGCAGCTCAAAGACGGTCGTAAGTAAATTTATTTATAAGGATATTCAAAAGGTACCATAATACATGCTGTAGTTTGGAAAAGGATCTTGTGTATTCGGCTTGATTATGTGGAATAATACTTTGACGTAGGCAACAGGCGATAAGTGATATCAACTAAGACCAGTCCCACTATCCTTGGAGTGATGGCTTAGAGAAGAAGTTTGGAATTGCGCTGTCAGAGTCTTCGGTGAACAAAGGAAACACAAAGAACAGAAGCCATTCCTTCACATCGTGTTGTGCACGTGTGTGGATGCCAGTTTTCATATCCGGTGTAGTTCAGTAAGAACGAAACTTAAACAATACACACACCTCGATACACGCATACGCATGCGTAGTTATGGAAGCGCTGTAGGTTGTAGATTTTCGGCAGCATATGGCCCCCCACTTTTTACTTTACGGCGTATCCCTTTAGAAATCGCCAGTTTTTAGCACGATGATTCGTCCGATTTACTGTGGTCAAGATAACTTCGTGGCTGGAACAAAGGGGGGCCTGATTCCATTTATCCAAATGTGCTCAATCACAATCACCAGTTCTCCCCAAATATCTAATGGGGTAAGCAACGTCCAATTAATGCGTTTATTGGAAAAGTGAAACTAGGGAGGTGCAGCAAGGGAAAGTTCCCTTCCAGAATTACATGAGTATCAGACAGACGATGGACTCTTCAACTATTGGGACGTTCTGCTGTTTTGTGTGCAATGTGAGGCTATGCTGGTGAACTCTAAAATTTATAAAAAAAGCTTTTAGAAAGCCTTATATGAAACTGGTTTTTAGTTTAAAGTGTGGGAACTTGTATTTTAATTTGCAAAGCAATTCTTGACAGCACTAATATGTGGCTATTTTCTCACAACTTTTCTAATTTGCTTGTGCACCATTTGTAAATATATGCGTGACACACTTTAATTATCACACGCAAAAATCGGTCATCCATTTATAGAGGTTCTCCGTTTACATAAGTTTTGGCTACATATTAATCACCCATGCCAATATAATGCTGCGCCGAATCGACTACTGAATATCCTGGACTATGAAAAGTTCAAAAATAATAAATAATACGAACAAGTCTGGGCACAGAATGCAGTCTGCAACCCACCACGCTAGTTTTGAAACATGGATGCGAATAAATTACCTCTTTTTTGTTAGTAGAATATTGCAACGGTTTTTAATACTCACACATTGTATGATGAAACGGCTTATTGCTTGTGCTACTAGACCACCGGCTGGTAGCTATGGACATTTGCCGACTTTTGAGTTCCAGATGCATATTCTGATTAGACTATGTATTGGGTTCATTACCAATTTTTCGTTTGCCTACAAAATTCTAGTCCTGGCATCGTTTCTAGTGGACTGCCGTTATCTGATAAATGGTCATAGTAGATGTATTGATATTGCTTAGTTATGTGGAGATGATTTTATCCGTATATTCCGAATTAAACGATATGATAAATACATACACATTGTACAATTTCAATGGACTACCTCAGCATGCTTGAACTCTGCACCGTAGTCGAGAATACCATGGAAAAGTTTTTTCCGGCTCCTTAATGCCGCGTTTTTGATCACCTTAGGTGGACCAAAAAATAATTTATATTTTTTTTCGCAAAAGTTTCCCACCTGGTAACCGTTGTTCATGAAGTTAGGATTTCAATACTATTTTGTCTTTCTTAGGACCTATGCTCAATTTTAGTCATGATTCGAGCCGTACTCAATTTCTGAGCATTATTTCAAATAAGTCAAAATAAAAAACAAGGAGTTGACATTTGTCACTGTTCACTGATATTAATTATTGTATTGGTGTTAATAAATGAGAGCTAATGCAACACATCAGCTACCACAATTGGAGTGCTAGTCCCGTCAAAAGTACCTCTACTCCATTGCGGCGAACGATTTTCTCAAAATAACCCGTTTACTTTAACACATAGCTATCAGACCGAGAGCTAGTCGACAAATTTGTTTAAATGATAATTTTATGACATCCAAGCACACTGCATACAAATTTGTTTTCAAATTTTTTAATTATCCACTTCGAAGGCTCAAGATAACTTGGGTAATATAGGTATGATCATCTCACCAAAATGACAGCCGTTCATGTTAATGTTGAGAAAAAATTTCGCAACAGAAGCAACACTGATTTGTTGCGTGACCCTGTCAGCAATGATTCCAGAAAGTGTGTTACAAATCCGTCATAGACTATTCGTTTCGCTTCTCGTGATTACCGGAATCTTTGGAGAAAGTGACTGCACCATTGGAAGACAAATCAAGTGATACAATGCAAGATTAATTAGAAGTTTATAAGGGAACAGAAATATCGTCTTTAATTGAACACATAGCTAAGCTTTTAAATCTGTTTTTGTTCACTGTATTATGGTAGATTTTTCAAAACTCAATTGATAGCCAAATACAACATTCTGAGTCAAATTTTTTACTTAATTAACTAATGTTTTTCACATTACTTACGACATTTCCTAAGAGTATGATTGTTAGTGCCTATTAGGTAGGTAGAACAAACGACATTGACAAGAAATTTTTAATCTGCGTTTGATCTGACGTATGGATACTGACCCCCCCACAGAGTACATTCATTGTGTAGAATAATTTTATTCAAGAATCCTAGTATGTAAATTCTTTTTTGCTTGGTTTTAAAATGGGTATCGTTTCAAATTATAAACTGGGGAAACAAACTAATTATTTTTATGTTCCAAGTAGATAAAATAAGGTCTATAAACTTACAGAAATACAACATTTTCCACCTTACAAGTGCCGATTGAAGCGTTTCTTTGTCCTAAAAGCAATATACGGCAAACACATTGGGCAAGTTAGTTGCTTTCGTTATTTTTATGAATCTGTTGTGTTAGAAATCAGAACATTAAATGTCACCAAAGACAGAAAGTGATGCTTAAAAGGCAATCACCGTCACAGATGCAAGGGAAAGCGACTGACGTTCGGGAGAGGCGTTAAAAAGCGTTTGACATAGAAGCAACGAGCACATCTTATCTTAATAAGGGTTATTTTTAAGTAGGCTGAATCATTTGGGCACCACTCACAAGTAAAAGGACTTGCTTTTTCCATCGCACCCATACACGGATGAATCTCATTTACTAAATGAAATTATGTAGTAAATTAAAGAAATCTCAACCGAATTGCAATTATACTTACTGTAAGTTTGTAATTGGAGACTCCTTTCTCCTACTATTTTTCCTATTGATGTTGTGGAAGTCAACATTTCCGTTGTTTACAAGATGCACTTTAATGTGATCCCGGGGATTTACTGGTAGAATGAGTATTTCTAGAATGGAGGGGCAGGGTGACTCATAGTGACGCAGTTGATGAATAATAGTTAGACGTGGCTTTCTTAGGCAGGCCTACCAGCTATTGTGTTGGAGATCTTCTAAGCAGATATTATTTCTAAAGGGTAGCAAGACTCTCATTTTACACAACAACTCGACAATCGTGTCATAATAATGGTAATTGTTTAGTTAACATTTATTTTTAGTGTCAGTGAAGCTTGATGGGAAGTGTTAGTGGCAGCACTGATTCGAAGTCCTAACGGTCAACATTAGAAACCGCCGTCCGGTATAATTCCCATTTAAAAGTGCCCTCGTCCTGCATGGCCGCGTGTCTATATGCACACAGTTAAAGAGAATTTATTGAATCTCATTATTAGTGGTGTTTGCCCGACATCACTACATTGCTGTCAATCCCGGTTGGATGATGCACACATGCCCTAAGGCATTTTTCAGGTTGGGTAAAAAACACAACCGTACACCGTTTTCGCCTTTCCACATGCTATTTATAAGTAAGAAACATTGGTATGCAACCCATCGTCAGCCAATCGGCATGTTCTTTCTCCCTTTTCAAAAATCGTCAGGAGTGAAAATCTCGATAAATTTCTTATCACTTTATAGGTAGTATTACCAAACGCATCGCTTTTTGTGTCCATTTTTTTTTCAAAACTTCACTTAATCCCATTTAGACTTTTATTCCTGTTTGCAATTAAACATAATGGGAACATCAGGTTTTCTTTTTTTCCAAATTTGTTTTCTGAAACAAGGGAACAATGGACCCTTTTGTATGCGTCAGTAAGTTACTGCAAAGCTGGCCTCTTCCTACATCCATATGCGCATAGTTAAATCAAAAAATGGCAATATGTGGCCCCAATTGAGAGGTGTCTTACTTAACGGTAGTGAAATATTATCCCTAACACTGAACGATGCATAGCGTAGAGTGGTTTAAATCTTTGACAGTAAGTGTATGCTTCAAATTATAAGTGAGTGCTGTTATTTGAAAAAAAACGTGCCTTTGATATGCGTGTCGCGAGGTTATTTCGCACGAGTATCTTTTTGTCACCGATTTG